CTTGTAACAGATCCAGTAAGAAAGCACAGCTCGGCCATCATTCATCACAATAGCAAAACCCCCAATTAAGGGTGAGTATTCCATATCAATAACATATGCATTATCTGGAGCAGGTAATGCTATAAAAATTCCGTTTATATTTTCAAAGTTTACATCAGATGTTTAGAATGAAAAATAAATGATTCATTATGTAAATGAAATAATATTGGGCTATATCTTCAAAATTGGAATTATTATTAGAACCAAAAAATTCTTTAGTTTAGACTCACCACTACCACAGTGTGTACCCCCATAATAAAACGAAATGCAACTAAGATCCAGGGCACATTCCCCATCACAAAGAGTTCCATCCCAACGATATCGAAAAGATGGCCCCGTTCTGTGGCCAACAATATATCAGTAGCACTGACACAAGCCGCGCGAGCTATTCTTCCGCGCCACGGAGATAATATCATTCGCCGAGTAAGTGTTAGAGCTGGTACTACCTCTCGAACAAATAGTTCAGCACTATCTCTACGCAATCGGCTAAAACATGATAAGTAAATAAAGCCAAAGTTAACAATTTTATATCATATTGAATTTACATTTTCTGCAATCAAGTCAGGTTTATATAAACTTAGAACTCACAAACTTTTATATAGAGCAATTCATCATAAATTAATGAAATGTATGCAGAATTTACAAATGTAAATCTAATATAATAACATAAATTTATATTCTTTACTATCTGTAACAAAAATCAACAAATCACAAAAATTATAATTTCAATAGAATTATTTTGCAGTTGTATTTACAAAAAAATATTTATATATCTTCAAAAATTTAGATAATAAATAACTTCAAGCAATATATTAAATACTCATATTTAAATATAAGCTCATATAACTCTTTTGCAAATTTTAACTACAAAAAACAAATAGTATGCATAGCCCTGATGGAATTTTTTTTGGCCAATAATATTACAATATTATTGGGCATTATTTAAAAAAATAAAACTCTGCACACATTTAAATGAAAATCACCTGTGGGGGATCATTCTGTTGATAAACTCCACCTCTAGAGAGCTCTTCAGAAAAACTGACATCATAAAGAATTAAATGCCCTCCAACAGTCTAAAAAAATAAGGGTAAGTTTTAGAAAAAAGTCTGTATAACTATGACCAATATATAGTCATTAGAATACTTACCACTACTGCTAGCATAGTCGAATCGGGCTTCCATTCTACTATTGTATTACTGCCAAGTTTCTCCAATGATTCCTGATCTCTACGATGATGAACAATCAAAACACATGGCTAAAAATAATGATACATAACATTAATTGAGAAATATGCTAACTGTGAAATAATAAAAAGGTACCAAAAAATAAATAAAAAAAATAGCGTCTATAACATAATATAAATTAAGTTGTAAGTAATTGAACAAGCATACCTTAGTGAACCATACAGAAATTGTGTCATCTGTCAAAACAACAAAAAGAATCTTATCGCGATTACATACTACTTGAATTATGTTCTCATCAGTAAGTTCAGGAGTCCTTAAAATTTTAGGCCATCCAATAGGAAAATACATTTTTGTTTTTTTATGTATTGTTAATAAAATTAAGATTTAGAATATCAGAATGTAACATCTTTAACGAAACACCCACAACCTCATTTTTACTCAAACGTTCGCCTAGCTGTCATTCTTTGGAATGACTTGTGTTGAGAATAACATGTGTTAAGTAATGCCAGATGTCAGATGGTTTTAAAAACTACGACATAGTATTAAATATTTATCTAATATAAGCTTGATATAACATATCATAGTTTATGTTTATATTTTATTCGGTATATTTTATGTTTCATTATGTCTATATTTTATTCGGTATATATAGCGTATTATCAGGATTAATCAGGATAGTATCGTAGTACAATAGCATACTATCATAGTAATATAAAGTACTATCGAATTCATTCAGTACTTTCATATGGTTTTATCTTTCTTAAAAACTTTCTTAAACAAGCTAATACATAATGAGTCAATATTTTATTTAAGAAGATGAAAATGAATAAAAACTGTCAATCTGTCATTTTGTTTTGCCATCTTTCCGCCATGAACGCCCACAAATGCTGCCACCTGAAACATTTAGTATATTTTGTCGATGTTGGCAGCACTAATAAACAATCAAGAATTGTCAAAATCAAGTCATGTTTTGGTTAATCGGTCTATTTTTGCTGTAGTTTATAAACAAAACTGAAAATTGCTTCTATTATCATTATTTTCTTATTTTATTATCATGGGAGACGATACAGCAGATTTTACACGCTACATAAAAAATGTTCTACACGATAATAGAAGTTCAAATGTATCGAAAAAACTTCCATTTGGTGATTCTTTTGAAAATCATGGTGCTTGTTTATACTAAAATAATTTCATTACAACAAATTTTAATTATTAATGAATATATTTATCATGTATTCAAGGTAAATCAAAACCGAGATCACTAGATGAGGAACAACCCAACTTTCCAAAAAGGAGTAAAGATGAATCAATTATGGAATCTCCCTGGGAGATCAAAAGGGTTCGAAGTAGCCTGACTATAGCAAAGAATGAAGTATTATTTTTATTCAAACTTATAAAATTTGAATATAGTATAAATAAAATATAAACATAAAAATTAAATTTTATAGATAGCTCAGTTGCAAGATTATATTGAAAAGCAGCATAGTTTGCGAAAAGAAATGGAAACTTTGTTTAGTATTGAGAAGGAAGCACTGCAAAGACAAAAAGCCAATGATACAAAAACTATTGAAGAGTTAGAGCACAGGTTGTCATGCCTTAAGAAAAGGGAACAAGATTTAAAAACTAACTCGATTAGAGTGAGGATATATTAGTTAGATTTATATGTATGCATACAATTAAAATCAATTAGATTTCATATATATTTCTTTTAGTCATCTTCCAGTTTAGATGAATTTAAACTTTCAATGGAATCCAAACTAGATCAAAAAGATAAAGTAATTATGCAATTGAAAGAAGAAATTAGCAATTTAAAACATTCCTTTGGTGAAAATGAAAGAAAAGAAATAGAAGTTAAAAAAAGTAATATGTCGGTGAGTAGCATTATTTTGAATAAGCAATTTCTTATTGTTTTTACATATTAACATTGTTTCATATTTAAGCAAATTAATGATATGGAATTTAAAAATCAAGAATACCAACGTGTTATTAAAGATTTGCGGGATGAGAATTCAAACCTAAAAAAGACTCAAGACAAGTATTTAAGAATGGAAGCTGATTTTGAAGCTACCAAAATTAAAGTGCACAGTTTAGAAAACGAGCTTTTAAACTATAAGGAATACGACACTCATATGAAGGTAAAATAATACTAATATATATAATAATAATATAATACATATAATATAGGAAATGATGCAATATGCTTTTTCAGTCACTACAGAAAAAATTAACCACAATTCCTGAAATGGAATCTGAGTTGAAACAATATCGCCAAGAAATTTGTATGTTAAGAGAAAATGTTCAGAATAAACTAATATTAGAGGAGCAAGTTCATGACTTGAATGTTAAATTATCTAGTGCAAATAACAAACTGAAAGATATTGCTAATATTCAGGTATTTATCTTATTTATATAATCATATATATTTTACAAATATTATTGTTTAATTTTTTAAAAAGGTTGACTTTGCTAGAGCTGACTCTTTGTTAAAAGAATGGCAGGCTGTATCGAGAAGTTTCAATAGAGGTAACGATTTAATTCATAATTGTATTTAAATTTATTACAAGTCCCAATATTGTTTATTATAGAGAATTGTACACCAAAAGATTTAAAACAATATATAGAAGAGTTACAGAAAAATGAATTGGTATTAACAGCTGATAAATTAAAAGTGCAAAGTAATTTGAAAGCTGTTGAAATCGTAAGTATGCTTTGTTTATTATTTTACCATTATGGTTACCTAATTTTATGAACATTGCGGTTTATTTAGGAATTAACAAATGTTAAGCAAGATATGTCAAAAACTACAACACAAATCACAGATTTGAAAAATTCATTGAAGCAACATCAAAATATTCTTCATAGAGTTCAAAAAAAATTACAACAAGTTGCAAAAGAGCGTGACTGTTATCGTGGCTTAGTTGATTCATATGACCAGGATTTAACAAGTGAATATAAAATTTTATATATCTTATAAAATATGAATTTCTTATAATTTATCTTAAAATACTTATAATTTTATTTAATAGTTATGAATACAAACAGCATGAACAACGCAGAAGTTTTATTAAAAGAACGCATTGCTGCAATGGAGAAAATTGTAGAAGGTTATAAAGAGCAAGTGGAATCATTAGAAAAGGAATTGCAATCAGCTGTTCCGCAAGGTTAATATAATCAGTGATAATTCTACTATATGCATGTACAAATAGCTACTGAGAATGATTTAACATTTGCAGCAGCACCACCAGCATTTGTTGACCAATTAGCACGAATGCAAGAAGAAAATTCAAAGCTTATGAAAGAGAACGATAGATTAACAAAGAGATGTGATGAGTGTGAACAGTTACTAGAAAAATTCCATCAAAATAGAAGTGTTACAAGCACAACAAATGAAAAGGTTTAGTTTATTCCATTTATTTGATCATAAATTGTATTTGTAGAATTAATTAAAGTCTGAAAGTAATGGTGCCAAAACTATACATATTTTAGTAGAATCATTTTGAGTAGAACTAAAATAGATATACTTTCTTTTAGATCTTACATTTCACACTAAATCCTGCAACTAACAGCCAGAAGGAATATAAAGAAGATGTAAAGCAATTGCAGACAGAGGTATTAATATTTTATTTTTATTATTTGTTTTTGAAGTTTTATATTTTCAATTCCATTATAGATTGAAAGATTAAAAAAGAAGATAAAGAAATTGGAAGAAGGAGCTACAGATGTAACTCAAACACAAAATATGACTGGTACTACAGAGCTTTTAATGTTACGTGAAAAAACCAAAGCAGATGAAATTAAAATTCAACGGTTAAAAGACCTTTGCAAAAGCTCAATGCATGAATTTCGAGATGCTTGCTATATGATGCTAGGATATAAAATTGATAGAATAAACACATCTAGCTATAGGTACTTTTTTTGTCTTACCTTAATATTATTGTCCAGATTAATATCTTTCTATTGTCCAGCAAATCCTTCTTATGATATTGATAGAATGTGAGATTAATTTTTCATGCCTGTAAATAAATATGATTAAATTAACTTTTTTAGGGTAACAAATATGTATGCAGAGAGTGAAAATGAATACTTGAGCTTTGAGTATGAAAATGAACTTAAATTATTAGAAACTCCATATTTACGTACCTTGGATGATCATGTGAATACTTATTTGAGGCAGTATGGTTCAATTCCAGCATTTCTTAGCGCTCTGACCTTAGATTTAGTAAAAAGGACCACAGTCATGGAAACAACTAATACTATTCAACTGTAATATGTGTAAAGCAATTAAATATTTAATAGTATAATTTTAACATTTATTTGAAGTTGCCTATGTATACAAGTTCAAATAATGAATAAATATTAACAAATTTCAGCCATTAACAATTTTTCATAATATTTCTGAACTTAATTTTGCATATATATAGAAGGCATTGGATGTATTTATGTTAAATAGACTTAATAAAAGTATACTAGATTAACACTAGATTAATTAAATTGAGGTTATAATTAATTTAATTTCCTACTTAATATTAATTTATAAAACACTGATATTATTACTTCAGTTAAATTTTCAAATTAAACATAACATTAAAAATTCATTATCGTCATTATAAAGTAGCCATTGAAAATCATACCACATAAGCACCACTTAATTCCGTACATTTACAATTGTGCATAATTCGTCTATTGGGAAAATAAACTTCACATACATAAAATATTTTGCAACATAAATCTCATTATATAAGTATCTATATTTTTTTATATATTTTATGATATTGAGTTCACTTGCAATATCACTTATAGAATTTTTTGTACTGCTTGCTATCATTATCTCAATAATAGAAGTCCATAATACATTTTTACATGACCTGCATCAATTACTATAGAATGATATATCATATTTTGTGATTATTGATGAACTGAATGATTCACCTCAATAAGACAACCAACTAAAAATGAGGCATTGATATTGTTAACATCATCTCAATCTTGTGCCATAAATATGTCTATTAGGTGATTCTACAAATATTTTTTAAACTATCATGGTTCATTCAAGCAATGAGAAACTTATACAGGTTTCTCTCTGAATAAATTGTTTAATTCAATTTTTAGAAATTCATGAATACAGGATGCTAATTCACATAATTTAAATTTCCATTATGTAAAAGTAATATGAAAATTACTGCATATGATTATTAAAACATATTATTCATGCTACAGATATTTTCTATTTTGAAATCATTCTTTCAAAACTTCACAAGTTGTATTTATACAGAATAATATTTTCTATACTTCGAATAATATCTTTTTATAATCTGAGCAAATATACATGATTAATTTTCCACACACAACAAAGCAAATATAAGTTTATCATATCAAATTGTCTTTGAAATGTGCTGTACTGTTACTTTCAAAGAAGCTAAATAATACGTAAGCTAGTATAGTTAGTTACTTTTGCAAAACTTTCATTATTTTATTTAATAACTTCTTGAGAAAAAATAATGTCTGAAAACAATTAATAATATTGATAGGATTGATTTTTCTCGATATATAATGAATATTCTTTAGTTATAATTTGATACATAGATATTAAAAAAATAGAATTTCTATTCGAATTACAGGTACAAATAATGCATTACAGTCAATGTACTTTAAAAATATATTAAATTCAGCTTTTATCATAACCGTTCATAAAGATTCTTTTATAATTTAAATTTCTTGAACATACTGAGATTCATTTTACTGATTTATAATATAAACTATTTTAGTTTGAGATTCTAAGTAAATAAAATTTAATCAGGTAATTATATTGCATCTTATAATAACTATATTATATTATACATTTCATAAATTATAAATAGAAATATACATTTCATAGAATAGATTCAGTAAAAATAATTGTCTATTTTTATCTAGAACTACAGCTATTAAGATATTATTTTTATTTAAAAATAAGTAATTTTCTAGCTAAATATAAAATTCTGTATTTAGCCATCATAAAATTTGCTAAGACTGAATTATATTGAATTTATATGACTTTAAATTTTTTTTCAGAAAGCTGATTGAATTCATTTAACTCAACTAACTTAGTCTTTTGAAGCTTTTTTGTTTCAATAATATTTTATTATTTATTCATTCGTATTAATTTCTGTTCAGTAAGCAAAATACATGCACACAGTTTTTTGTTCAACAATCTAACATAGATATTTCTTTACAATTGTATCTATATTTGATTTTGAAGATTGTTGCCAAATTTTGTACTTGAGGATTTTCAAACAATATAGTTTTGCATACTCTTTATATCAATCAAATAAATACTAAAGTAAATAAACATAAGTTGAAAACAAATATCCTTCTACGTAAATTCAATAAAAAAAATACTAATATTCATTTAAAAATTGTATTCGTGTGCATGCAAATTTTCAAATTCCCTAATTACATTATTCGTCTATTAAAATTAGCAGAAAAATGCTACCAAATTTACTAGATAAGTTGCGAGATTCTGATATATATTAACAACTTCTGCTTGTAAATACAATAAAATCTAGAATAAAGAATAATAATGTGATTATCTCTATATATAAGAATAACGACAAATAAACTTATGTTTTAGAAATATCATTGGAAATTTATAATATTGCGACTTAATGCCAATTAAAGCCCAAGAAATAAATACCTTTATTGATCTTCTTCAGTTGTTTCATCTTGAGATGTTGAGCTACCGGGAAGGGCCACATCACTGCTGTTTGAATTCTGGCTTGAACCATTGACATCCAATACTAAAGGTGCCCGTGTTGATAACTCAGGAAGAGTATCAGGAGATGCTTCAAATTAAAAAATTCGAATTTCAAAAAAATATGCATTGCTTACATCCACAAAATGATAATGTTGTGATGTTGATCAAAATTTAATCACTCATTCAAATACACTCACCAAATGTGTAAAAATATAAATAATAAATATACACACCAAATATATAAAACTAGCAATGACATAATTTATTTTCCTACCAAAATTAGTAGCACAGCCTTTGGTACGGCATGTATTATATGCACCACAGTGTAAACATTTTAGACCAACTACATGAAATTTAACAGTCGATTCCTAAAATAGTAAATATATTAATATTATATATATATATATATATATATATATATATATATATTATGCAATTCATGTATTATTACCTTGTGACAATCTTTACATAATATATCAGTTTTTACATTCTCATACTCTGGGGGCATAGGAGTCATCTGAACTTCATTATCCAAATAACTCCATAGCTGTTTCATATCTAGCATAGATGTTTGGCATGTTGGGCATGCATAATGACCTTAAAAGGATAGCTGATGTTATACATAAAAACTATATACAAACATTATGAACAAACATAAATTCTTACCAGAATGAAGCAGCTCTTCGAAACAAGTTCTGTGCAATAAATGTCCACAATCTGGTATATGGCATGGAATGCGAGAGGTGTGGATATCCTCCAGACATACAGGGCAATTAGATCTTGATACATTCTCTACACACTGAAAATAAATATACATTGTTGTGGCAAAAAAACAAATTTACAAAAGTTGCAACAATTTAGTTGACTATAAAATGTGGTACGCATATGCAAGAAGAACTATTGATATTGAATATTACCTTATGTCCTTCAACCTTGAGTTGCACTGGAAGACACATATTACAGACTTCGCAATGAAAAAAGCTATCTCGTCCCCCAATTCGACATATTCCACAACCATCGCAATGATATTGGCTTTTATCCTCATCATCAAATAAGTTACAGATTAAACACGTGTACTAAAATTTATAAATAAAAACACAAGTAAGTATATTAATGAGTTAACTGTAACTAATTAGTTAAATATTCTGCTCACTTTGTAGACATATACAAAAACTGGTGTCCTTTATATTTTAATATTATAATGAATCATAATTACAAATCTGTATGTATCAATAATAAAATGTTTTCTTACTAACCCGACCAAATCTGACTCCACATTTTTCACATTCAGCTTGAACTTTCTGTCGAGTATCACATTCTGTGCACATTAGTTCTGTGACTGTTTTTCTATGAAAATAATGAGCTTCATTCTCATCATGGCAGTATCTGCACATGTATAGTTTATTACAGCATGGAGTCTGAAGAAATTATTTTATTTAATTACTAGTAATAGTAATAACTATATATTAATAGTAAAAATTATTAATGCATTCATTTCATTATGAGTGATGGCAATATTTTTTTAGTATCAAAATGTACCTTGGTTTGTATAAAAATGTGTGTTACTTAAAAGATTAGAGACAAAAATAATAAGATTTCAATCGATTTAATTGAAATGGCTGGCTGGAAAAATGTCACTTAAGTTTATTGTTATATTATTCGATTTCAAGTCATATTTCACATAACGTTTCTAAATTTTCTGATAAATGTCTTCAAAATTCAGTCTTATAAATTGTAAATCTTAAATTAGAAATTTTACTTATTGAAACCGTGCTTTTTATTATCAAGAAAAGATATTAATAAGACGAAAATTTGTGTTAATAAATACATTAAGATCAATACGTGATCATAATATTATAAAATTACTTCACTAAGGACGTTTCTGCTATATACATTTTTTATTTGTACAAATATTTTTCTTCAATATTTATACATGTTTGAGTAAAATAATTATTTCGGTATTTTAACACAATATTGATATTAATATAAAATGCATAAGAATCTTACATTTCTAAACACATGCAATCTATTGATATATGTTAAATATATATGTTAAAAACTAGTTTTCACTCACTACAAATTTAGCCCGTCGTTTATAATGTGCACATCCAACTTTTTTGGGTTCTTCTTGAATATCATTGTCCATCATGGAACACTTTAGTCTATTTATTGAATTTATTATTGAATTAATCACAACATTAATTGTTAACATTTACAAAACTAAATAAAATTTTATTAAAAATATGACACATCAAGTCAGTCGACCCAGTTCCAGATCCAGCGGAACATATTTATATATTTTCAATTAATAGAACTGTTGTGAACATATATGTCAAATAAAAGGAGCACCAACATGGGGAAGTGAAATTAGGAATAAAGCTGCGGTTACATGAAGTTTTAAGTCATAGATGAGTGATGTGAAACTCGCACTTTTATCTTTTATAACTCGCTGTTAACTAATATTTGTTTTGGTGTAAAACGTGCATTTTTTTTATTTGTTGCAGTTCGTATTTCTTATATTTTCTCTTCAATTATCTTTTGTTTTATTTACAATAATAGAGGTAAGAATAATGAACTTCAAAATTTTATATTTACAATCAGGATGGATCGGATGGATATTCAATCAGAAAAATGAAATGGGTTTAGAAAATAAATTATTTCTCATAGTTTTGGTGTAAATCGTACTACAGTTGATGCATTCTGCATATTCTGGTTGAAATTGTTATTGGTTAAAATGTATTTGAAGCTTATTTAGTCATGTATATATATATATATCTTATATATAAAAATGGAGCTCTCTTTCAAATGTCCGAATAAAACTCGAAAACGGCTGAATCGATTTGGCCAGTCTTAGTCTTGAAAAATTCGTGCCAATCCAGAGAATGTCCAAAAGGTGAGAAATTATTTCAAATCCGCGTAGAAACTTTACATTTATAATTTGAAAATTTTTGTAGAAGCGTAATTTAAATAGAACAATGGACGGTGGCAATTTTGTGAAATGTCAAACGCTTTTGACAGATGATGTTCAATTACGTTTAATAGGATGTTTTACGCGAATATTTACGACAATATAAGTCGAAAGACAAAAAAAAACTTGGATTGGATTTTACCATGTTTTCTATAGAAAGTATATAAAACTTTCAGTTTGATTGTATTGACAAAATATCGGTAATCTTTGAAAATCCATAATAAAAGCATTTTCTTCCGTTAGTAGTTTTTTAGTATTAGTTAAAAATGTAATTATTTTGTAAAATACCTTTGAATTAAAATAAGGTTTTAAACGTATTTGCCACCTGACCGTTCCAAGTTACCCCGCCTATAGGGTAAAAAGGTGCCGATAACGAATTTTTGAAAGACATAAAAAAATACATTTCTACAATGATGAAGTAGATGGCAATTTTACTGAACGTAGTCAGATAATTGTTTGTTAATTCATCGAATGTTACTTGAAACTTCGTAACTTAAAAATTTCAAAAAAAAAATTGAAAAAAAGATTAAAATATTTTTTTCCAAAAGCAATTATTTTGTTAAAACAAGCAGAAAGTTCTTTGAAACGTTCGGATTATCCGGACATTCGATTATCCGGACATTCGATTATCCGGACATTCGATTATCCGGACATTCGATTATCCGGACATTCCATTATCCGGACGTTCGGTCATCCGGACTTTCGATTATCCGGACGTTCGATTATCCGGACTTTCGATTATCCGGACATTCGATTATCCGACATTCGATTATCCGGACATTCGATTATCCGGACTTTCGGTTATCCGGACTTTCGGTTATCCGGACATTCGATTATCCGGACATTCGATTATCCGGACTTTCGGTTATCCGGACTTTCGGTTATCCGGACTTTCGGTTATCCGGACTTTCGGTTATCCGGACTTTCGGTCATCCGGACTTTCGGTCATCCGGACTTTCGGTCATCCGGACTTTCGGTCATCCGGACTTTCGATTATCCGGACTTTCGATTATCCGGACATTCGATTATCCGGACATTCGATTATCCGGACATTCGATTATCCGGACATTCGATTATCCGGACATTCAATTATCCGGACATTCGATTATCCGGACATTCGATTATCCGGACATTCGATTATCCGGACATTCGATTATCCGGACATTCGATTATCCGGACATTCGATTATCCGGACATTCGTTTATCCGGACATTCGATTATCCGGACATTCGATTATCCGGACATTCGATTATCCGGACATTCGATTATCCGGACATTCGATTATCCGGACATTCGATTATCCGGGCATTCGATTATCCGGACATTCGATTATCCGGACATTCGATTATCCGGACATTCGATTATCCGGACATTCGATTATCCGGACATTCGATTATCCGGACATTCGTTTATCCGGACATTCGTTTATCCGGACATTCGTTTATCCGGACATTCATTATCCGGACATTCGATTATCCGGACATTCGATTATCCGGACATTCGATTATCCGGACATTCGATTTTCCGGACGTTCGATTATCCGGACGTTCGATTATCCGGACATTCGATTATCCGGACATTCGATTATCCGGACATTCGATTATCCGGACATTCGATTATCCGGACATTCGATTATCCGGACATTCCATTATCCGGACGTTCGATTATCCGGACATCCGATTATCCGGATAATCGAATGTCCGGATAATCGAATGTCCGGATAATCGAATGTCCGGATAATCGAACGTCCGGATAATCGAACGTCCGGATAATCGAACGTCCGGATAATCGAATGTCCGGATAACCGAATGTCCGGATAATTGAATGTCCGGATAATCGAACGTCTGGATAATCGAATGTCCGGATAATCGAATGTCCGGATAATCGAATGTCCGGATAATCGAACGTCCGGATAATCGAACGTCCGGATAATCGAACGTCCGGATAATCGAACGTCCGGATAATCGAACGTCCGGATAATCGAACGTCCGGATAAACAAATGTCCGGATAATCGAACGTCCGGATAATCGAATGTCCGGATAATCGGATGTCCGGATAATCGAATGTCCGGATAATCGAATGTCCGGATAATCGAATGTCCGGATAATCGAATGTCCGGATAATCGAACGTCCGGATAATCGAACGCCCGGATAATCGAACGTCCGGATAATCGAATGTCCGGATAATCGAACGTCCGGATAATCGAATGTCCGGATAATCGAATGTCCGGATAATCGAATGTCCGGATAATCGAATGCCGGATAATCGAACGTCCGGATAATCGAACGTCCGGATAATCGAACGTCCGGATAATCGAACGTCCGGATGATCGAACGTCCGGATAATCGAATGTCCGGATAATCGAATGTCCGGATAATCGAATGTCCGGATAATCGAATGTCCGGGTAATCGAAAGTCCGGATAATCGAATGTCCGGATAATCGAATGTCCGGATAATCGAATGTCCGGATAATCGAATGTCCGGATAATCGAATGTCCGGATAATCGAATGTCCGGATAATCGAATGTCCGGATAATCGAATGTCCGGATTAACGAATGTCCGGATAATCGAATGTCCGGATAATCGAATGTCCGGATAATCGAATGTCCGGATAATCGAATGTCCGGATAATCGAATGTCCGGATAATCGAATGTCCGGATAATCGAATGTCCGGATAATCGAACGTCCGGATAATCGAACGTCCGGATAATCGAATGTCCGGATAATCGAACGTCCGGATAATCGAACGTCCGGATAATCGAATGTCCGGATAATAGAATGTCCGGATAATCGAATGTCCGGATAATCGAATGTCCGGATAATGAATGTCCGGATAAACGAATGTCCGGATAAACGAATGTCCGGATAAACGAATGTCCGGATAATCGAATGTCAGGATAATCGAATGTCCGGATAATCGAATGTCCGGATAATCGAATGTCCGGATAATCGAATGTCCGGATAATCGAATGCCCGGATAATCGAATGTCCGGATAATCGAATGTCCGGATAATCGAATGTCCGGATAATCGAATGTCCGGATAATCGAATGTCCGGATAATCGAATGTCCGGATAAACGAATGTCCGGATAATCGAATGTCCGGATAATCGAATGTCCGGATAATCGAATGTCCGGATAATCGAATGTCCGGATAATCGAATGTCCGGATAATCGAATGTCCGGATAATCGAATGTCCGGATAATCGAATGTCCGAATAATCGAATGTCCGGATAATCGAATGTCCGGATAATCGAATGTCCGGATAATCGAATGTCCGGATAATCGAACGTCCGGATAATCGAACGTCCGGATAATCGAACGTCCGGATAATCGAATGTCCGGATAATCGAATGTCCGGATAATCGAATGTCCGGATAATCGAACGTCCGGATAATCGAACGTCCGGATAATCGAATGTCCGGATAATCGAAAGTCCGGATAATCGAATGTCCGGATAATCGAATGTCCGGATAATCGAACGTCCGGATAATCGAATGTCCGGATAATCGAATGTCCGGATAATCGAATGTCCGGATAATTGAATGTCCGGATAATTGAATGTCCGGATAATCGAATGTCCGGATAATCGAATGTCCGGATAATCGAATGTCCGGATAATCGAATGTCCGGATAATCGAATGTCCGGATAATCGAATGTCCGGATAATCAAATGTCCGGATAATCGAACGTCCGGATAATCGAATGTCCGGATAATCGAACGTCCGGATAATCGAATGTCCGGATAATCGAACGTCCGGATAATCGAATGTCCGGATAATCGAATGTCCGGATAATCGAATGGCCGGATAATCGAACGTCCGGATAATCGAACGTCCGGATAATCGAATGTCCGGATAAACGAATGTCCGGATAATCGAATGTCCGGATAACCGAATGTCCGGATAATTGAATGTCCGGATAATCGAACGTCCGGATAATCGAATGTCCGGATAATCGAATGTCCGGATAATCGAACGTCCGGATAATCGAATGTCCGGATAATCGAACGTCCGGATAATCGAACGTCCGGATAATCGAACGTCCGGATAATCGAACGTCCGGATAATCGAACGTCCGGATAAACAAATGTCCGGATAATCGAATGTCCGGATAATCGAATGTCCGGATAATCGAATGTCCGGATAAACGAATGTCCGGATAATCGAATGTTCGGATAATCGAATGTCCGGATATTCGGATATTCATATATTTCGACATTCCTATACTCCGATACTCCGATATTCCGATAGAGCTAAATGTACAAAAAATGGCAGTTCTTGAGAGAACTAAGTGCCCGATTTGAATGATTCAAAGAACTTTCTGCTATTCAGATATTCGGATATTCGGGTATTCGGATATTCGGATATTCGGATATTTGGATATTCGGATATTCAGATATTCGGATATTCCGAGATTCGGATATTTCGAGATTCGGATATTCCGAGATTCGGATATTCCGAGATTCGGATATTCCGAGATTCGGATATTCCGAGATTCGGATATTCCGAGATTCGGATATTCCGAGATTCGGATATTCCGAGATTCGGATATTCGGATATTCGGAGATTCGGATATTCGGATATTCGGCTATTCGGCTATTCGGATATTCGGATATTCGGATATTCGGATATTCGGATATCCGGAATATCTGAATATCCGGAATATCTGAATATCCGAATATCTCTAGAAATTGATCAGAATATACATTACTTAGCAAAACAACGTTTGCCGGGTCAGCTAGTATATATATATATATATATATATATATATATATAATATGGAATGGAATGAGGTATAACTTAATACTTAAAATGTATAGTATATGCTACTCAGTGCTACTATAGTATCTAATGATGTACAAATCACTGTATACATTTGTAACCAGTGTATCCAATTCTCATTCAAACTGAGGCAGCTAGCAGACATCACATAATATATAAATCAGAATATACATTTATATCATAGATAAAAGAAAAGATTGATTTATATATCTCGTTTCCATCCAATCGGCCACTATTGTTTTGAATTCATATTTTAATATTTAAACTCATATTTAAACGTTTTACGTACAGGTCGGTGGCGACATCTAACACAGAACTATATGAACCCGATAGTCACTACGTAGTTCCCAACAAATTGGGAACGATTTTGCATAGAGGCGCTGCATGCAATCGCTTTAGAACCACAGGAATCTTAGTGGATTCCTATTGGATTTGGATATAATTATTTCCCGGTTTTAAAGAAATATCAATATATACATTTATATATCGCTTTATACTATATATGTCCTTCTCTTATTGAGATTTAGAACTTAAAAGGCACGTATAGGAGTCCATGGATTTTTAAAATTGAAATTAAAATTTACAAATGATTAAAATTCCAAACGTATCTGTTTGCAATTAATGCAGCCCCAGTAGATTGCACTTACTGTGGAATTGTAAGATGTCTCTTAATCAATATTATTTATAATTTTAAAAATCAAAAAGTTGCGATTGAAAATGTATGTACAATTTTAATTGCCAGAACATGGCACTCTTATTATATTATTATCATCCATTTAAACTCAATAATGCACTTGTATTGCATAGAACACCATTAGTTGTATAGAAATTTCTGTTGTAGACAGTTTCAAAAGGTTACAAAACATTCTATAAATATCATTTACAAGCAATTAAATTGAATTGAGAAAAAAACAATATAAAGACTTTAAATATTCAGACTGTCATCTACTTCTTAAAGATACACAGGCAATTCGCTTTTTACATAATGTAATGAATTACAAATAAAAAATTATATATAATTCTTGAAATTTGGACAAATATTAAGAGTTATATAATTCTTAATTTTTGTCCAAAATAAATATCATTTTTAAAAAATATTTTTTTCTTCATAAGCAAGAATCATAGTATTTCTTAATTATATATGATTTAATTTATATATTTAAACTATACTGTTTACATTTCTCTTCTAACAGAGGTCACTACTAATATTATATATAAATATTCCTTTAAAATAAAATGATTAAAAAAACGATGCTTATAAAATAACGTGCGTTACTTCCCACATCATCCAATTCTCTTTCTGGAATTATCAACTTATATATAAATTTGCTATTATCGAAAACAAATAAAGTGAGATATAAAATTTGTAAATAAACATTTTATGTACATAATACAGAAGCACGATATCGAAAAACTATATACACATCTATATTAGTGGTGCATCAAAAAGGAACACATAGTCCATGGAATAAAAGTTGGTAGAAAAAAAGGTACGGATATAAAAATATAAATATAATATATATATATATATATATATATATATATATATATATTCTGTTAGTTGCTAAACTTATTTCAAATGTAGATTAATTTGTTAATTATTAACAGAGATTAATGCCGGCGTTAACTGTTTATGATGTGTTTTTTTATGTGCAAGTGCTCTTTAATCTTTTAATATATATTTATTACTTCCCGTGGGGTAAGTTATTGTAATGGGCCGAAAATCGAAATTTAAAATTTTTACATTTCTCGACGTTTTGAAGGTTTCTGAACATTTGGCATACCTCAGAAAAAATAGATGTATGTGTGTGTGTATGTATGTATGGATACAAATTTCCAGTCACGTTTTCGGGCGCACGGATTAACCGATTTGAATGGTTTAAAAAACATTCGATTCCTATTAATAGGGAGATGAGCTGATTAGTTTTTGGCAAAGGCAGGTCCAGCAGTTACGGAGATAAAGAGCAAAGAGTGCACAAAATAGAAATCGAGTTTTTGAGAGAACGGAACATCCGATTTGAATGATCTAAAAAACATTCAATTAGTAATGATTGGGAGAAGTGTTTATTAGTTTTTGGCAAAGGCAGGCCCAGCCATTTCGAAGATACGGTGCTAAAGTGTAAAAAATTGCAGTTTTTGAGAGAAACTAAGCGTCCGATTTGAATGATTCAAAGAACTTGCTGCTTGTCTTAACAAAATAATTGATTTTGGAAAAAAAATTTTGTTTCAACTTTTTTTTTCAAAAAAAAAAAATGTTTTGTATATCGAAAATAATTCAGATTTTATTTTTAATTCTGACTATAGTTCTAATATACTTTAAACAAATAATTTGAGCTTTGCAATTCAGTTTATATAATTCTTATAAATATTAGACAATGTTACAATATTAATAATAATCTATTTGAAAACATTCAGTATTCCTCGAACATTTCGTTACGGTACGGGAAGTTCCAGCAATTTGACTTAAGGCACGATGCCATGCGCCCCATTAGTTTCTCAATATTTTAGTATATCTAATTTTCTTTACTTTTTAGATTTATGAAAATCTAATAGTTTTTGCTGGAACTTAATGATAATAGTAAATTGCTGGAACTTAATTAAAAATCTTGGTACGGAATCCAAAAAAATTTACACAAAATGTGTACACACTATTAAAATCTCTGTAAACATTTTTGACCGCAAAATGACATTTTTTTAACTTATTTTTATTGAGATTCCATAACCGCTGGACCTGCTTTCCCATAAACTTAATCAGCTCTTCATCTTGTCAATACAAGTAAAATGTATTGAATGTAATGAATTATTAAAATCGGACGCTCCATTATCTTAAAAACTAAGTTACCGTTTCTGGCACTTTTTGCCCCGTATATTCCGAACGGCCATCCCCTGCCTTCGCCAAAAACTAATCAGCAAGTCTCCTCATCAATACGAATCGAACGTTTTTTGAATTATTCAAATCGGTCGATCGGTGTTCCCGAAATCGTCGACGAAAATTTGTATCCGCACACACACATACATTCATTTTTTCTAAGGTATGCCTAAATGTTCAGAAACCTCTGAAACGTAAAGATATATAAAAAAAATTCATATTCGATTTTTTTGCGATTACTATAACTTACCTTACGGGAAGTTAATAATGTAAGTGATGGTTTGATTTTTTCCAGAAAAGATGATTAGGTCTTTGTTACTAGTGATGGTATGTTGCTCCATTTGTGTAGCATACAGGGATTGGATAGAAGAACCTGGTCCTAGGGTGAAAGCCACCCAAGGTGAGGTTTGGCCAAAACCTCAGCAACAACGAAGCACAAATGAGGTGATGGTAGTTCGGCCATCGGTCTTTCTTTTCGTGGTAAGAAAAAAATTAGATAATTATAATTGTTACATCTGCATGTTAGGGGGCGCCTAGTAATCACGTGAGGTTTTTAGGGGGAGGGGGGGTCTGACAGAAAATGACGAAATATTACGTGGAGAGAGAGGGGTATAGTAAGATATCACGTGTATTTATTTTTTACCTGATTTTTTTCAGAAAATTCGAACATTTTCAAAAAAAAAGATCAAAAATTTTACAGATTTTTCACGTAATTAAATATACATATGATGTTTGGTGGGAGAGGGGGGGTAATTTTGAATATCACCATGTATCACCAAGGGGGAGGGGAGGTCCCAGAATCCTCAAAAACTCGTTCACGTGATTATTGCACGCTCCCTTATTTCTATACCATAACAAATCTTTTATCATATGATTTTGTGTTTCTTTATTTTATAATGTACGATTTTTACATAAATGTTTACATATCCATTCCCAAAATTCCGAGAAACTTGCCTTACAAGTTTTAATATGAAAAAAGAGAAAAATAAATAACTTGACACACGCAAAGCTCAGACATCTGATTGTTATGCACAAAGGCATATCAACGACCGTTAAATTAAGTTTAACGAATCGGTATTTAAGATCAGCGGGATTCATTCCGACCATTTGCTCACGTATAGGAAAATGCGTTCCTATATTATGAAAAGAATTGTTCAACAGGGAGGGATTTAGAAAGAAACTTGAAAAATTGTTTTTATAATATCGTAGATATTAAACAAAAATCAGCAAACTATAAGAAAAGAATTGACGAATACTCAAACTGTTTGGCACAGAGAGTTTTTTTTAGAAACACTCCCAACCAGGATCCAAAGAAAAATACCTAATGATCTCATAGATATCCATTTAAAAAAAACGCTCATCACTTTATTAACTTCCCGTAGGTTATTGTAATCGTCCAAAAATCAAAATTGAAAATTTTTGCATTTCTCGACGTTCTGAAGGTTTCTAAACATTTTGGCATACCTCAGAAAAAATGGATGTGTGTGTGTGTGTATGTATGTATGGATACAAATTTCCAGTCACGTTTTCGGGCGCACGGATCAACCGATTCGAATGGTTCAACATTCGACTCCTATTGACAGAGAGATGTGTTGATTAGTTTTTGGCAAAGGCAGGTCCAGCAGTTACGGAGATGAAGAGCAAAGAGTGCAGAAAATAGAAATCGAGTTTTTGAGTGGACGATTTGAATAATCTAAAAATATTCAATTAGTGATGATTGGGAGAAGTGGCTATTAGTTTTTGACAAAGGCAGGCCCAGCCATTTCGAAGATACGGAGCTAAATGTGCAAAAAATGGCAGTTTTTGAGAGAACTAAGCGTTCGATTTAAATGATTCAAAGAACTTTCTGCTTGTCTCAACAAAATAATTGATTTTGAAAAAAAAATTTGTTTCAACTTTTATATTTCGGAAATAATTCAGATTTTATTTTTAATTCTGACTATAGTACTAATATACTTTGAACAAATAATTTCAACTTTGCAATTCAGTTTATATAATTCTTATAAATAATAGACAATGTTACAATATTAATAATAATCTATTTGAAAATATTCAGTATTCTTCGAACATTTCGTTATGGTACAAATCAAAATATAATATTTAAATAATTTATTGTTAGAAATACAAATGATTCCATGCATTTATGCAATTATTTGAAAACGCATATTTTATAATTATAAACATAGTTCTAATAAAAGCAACATGACTCTCATAACAATTTGAATGGAACTTGATTTTTCTAGAAATACCCCTTCAAATTCATTTCATATTTGAATTTTGAAACTTTTGAACTATCCCTAACTTTTCATAATTTATGCGATTAATATTAAATACGTTTTGTTTATTGATTATATCCATGTAATAAAATGCTTCTCTATTTCCAAAAATAAGTTTCACATTATAAACATTTTAATGGACATTTTTGGACAGTTTATCTATTTTCTAGAAGTAATCTTCTCTTCAATCTTCTATGATCGATTGAAAATTATTAAAAATTATATGTGTAAATAATTTTTTAGAAATGTGTGCATTAGGTTAAAAGTTCACTGGGATCCCCTCTAAATTGACATTAGGTTAAAGGTTACTACATTGATAAATCTCATCCATTATCAAACAAGATGCATCTTTTAAGTAACATAATATTTGTTCAATACATTGCTATCAATATTGATATTTCCAAGAATACTTTGCAGGAATAAATTTTAAATAAAGAATCATTTCATTCTTAAATGTAAATCATTTAGACAAACACCACTGTTTAATGACGTTTAAAATAAGACTTTAATACATGTCAGTATGTTTTGTTGACTCCTTGACCTTAAATATTTATTTATGGATGATATTTTTACTAAGATTTTATTATATGAACATTGACACGGTTATTTATAGAATTAAAAAGCTATTCTCAAAACGTCGAGTTTTAGCTAATAATTTAATTAATTTTATATGAAAAATAATTTGTATTGAACCTGACTTCAATTTTCATCTGCATGGTATTTGAAAAGGAATTCAAATAACTGAATTTTTCCTATTTTTTCATATTGTATGGTATGTTTGGAGAAGTTTTGATTTTGTGCTTTATTGAATCAATGCAACTTTAAACTATAAAATCTGTAATTTAAGATAAATGTAAATCATCAAATCAAGAGCAAGGTTACGAGATACATTATTAGTATCCCACACTAATAATGTCTTCGTAACCTTGCTCTTGAATATGATGATGACTGAGTACTTTATCTATAAGATATACTATTAACTACCCAAAGAAGTATATATTTTTGCCAGAAAATCCGATAAGATCATTTTATGTTTTCTCTACTTTTCAAGTTTTTCTGAATGACACCAAAATTGGAAAAAGTCTGTGGGTATGAAGAATGAATGTATGTTAGCTAAAACTTGACCATTCGTCGACGTTTTCTGAAAAAGGATTGTACCGATTTCAAATATTTAATATAGCAGAAAAATGCAAAAATTATCGTCCACGTTTGCGCAAAAATACAAACCGATTTTGAAATTTTAAAAATCGTCTAAAAGATATCAGTTGAGGGATCATGCTTTCTTTATAATAATTGGTCAGGCTGTTTCTTTGCAATTAATTATCGAAAAATTTGTCGCTTTTTATACAACTCTAACGTGAAGCAAAATACCACTTACACCTAGTTTAATAAATATTCTTCATTGCCCTCATCATTCTTTTATCGCAACTTTATTGTAAAATTGATACTACTAATTATTTCAAGGGCTAGGGTTGATTTTGGATCTATTTTATACCAAAATCAAAAGCATAGGACACAAAAAAAATTTGGTTTATGGTCATCGATAAAGATAAAATATATGATAATATAAGAAGTCCCATTTTCTTTAGAATGAAGGCACAGCATGTAAAGATCTAGATGAGATGTTAGTAAGATACAAAGGCATAATGCTTAGAACTTTACCAATGACTTCGCGCCATTGTAATGGAAACAGAAAATTATGTCCTGGTCGTAGAAGGAGTTCCAGGAGTTACCTGAATTCGTTAAGGATCAACCTGGAAGGTCCATGTGATTTGCCGTTGGATTCCAACATGAATGAAACATGTAAGTAAAATATATTGCACAAGTAATAAATGATGGCACAAAAATTGAAAATTTACTAATGTGAGAGACTCACCAAGCTGTTAAATTATGTTAGTTTGTAGTCAACATACCATTTTTTAGATGTCGTCGATTTGCAACTTTGAAAAAGTATTTATGAATTTATAATTTTAGATAGTTTGACAATTTCTCCCGTACAAGGAGAATCAGTTTTGCATTCCCAAACATACTGGGGCATTATAAGAGGATTGGAAACGTTCTCACAATTACTTTATGCTGATCCAGTTGAGCACGTCGTAAATATCCTAAGTTGACTAAATTTCAAATAACTTTTCACAATATTTGATTTATTTATTGTTGTTTCCTTATAGCTATTGTTAAACAAAACTACAATTTATGACTACCCAAGATTTTCTCATAGAGGAATTTTGCTCGATACATCAAGACATTTCATACCTCTGCAAAAAATCATGCAACTTTTAGATGCAATGTCATATAATAAAATGAATGTTTTTCATTGGCACATTGTTGATGATCAAAGTTTTCCATATGAGAGCTATACTTTTCCTGAATTAAGGTAACTAACAGAGTAGAAGTAAAAATACTCACAAACAACTATATGAGAAATTCACATGGTAATACTATTAGTGCAGTAAACGGAGCGTTTTAGGTCTGAATTTTTTTACGGTCCTCCGAATTGAATGAAATTTTGGAATTAGGTTCATCTTACCCTCAAGTTCAAAAGTGAAAACAATTCGGGTTGCGCCATCACCACCCGGGGGGATGACAACCCCTCTCAATTGTGTAATTACATTTTTTCAAAATAACGTCGGAAATCGATAGAAGAACTAATTATAAGAAAAAATGTCTTTTATAGTTTTTCAAAAAAACTAATACTTTTCAAGTTACTGGCCACCAAAGATTCATATATTTTTGGCGTTTTTCTTCGTTTTTTTGCAAATATCTCCTAAAATATACATTTTAACGAAAATCATGTAATGAATAAAATAATGTCAGTAAAAATCTTAATAAATCGGTATTACATAAAGTTTTCTAGGAAAAATATTAAGAAAGACTTGAAAGAGCAAAATTGTTTTTGATTTCGTTCAAGATTTAATTGTTGTATTTAAAGCCATCTAGTGTCGAGGTTTTACATTTTATGCATTTCGGTGAAATTGGGTTTTATAGTGCTCAACATAAGCTTAAAAATGAGTGCTGTTACAAGTTTTTTGCGTGTAAAATGAGTAAGCTATCGTGCAAATAAGAAGCATATACGAAGTTTTTTTTCTTTTAAATCATATGGTTTAATGAGCGCCATTTCCACCAGAATTAAAGTAATTCACATTCCATCTAGAATTGTCTTCATTATAGACATCTTGATGGATTCTAGCAAATTCACTACTTTAGTACAAACTATGTTCAGAACACTCACGATTTTATAAAAACTTTTTTTTCCAATTTTTTAAGAAATCGAAATTATTTTCATTATATCTCAAAAAAATAAAAGATACGTATAAAAGCATATAGATAAAAATCAAAGGGATCTTTCTAGCTTATTTTTGTTTTTTATTATTTTTCTTTCACACAAAAATTGACAAAGTTATGAATGTTTAAAGACTGCGCGGCCGCGCAAATTGGAAAAAAAAGTTTTTATAAAATCGTGAGTTTTCTGAAAATAGTTTGTACTAAAGTAGTGAATCTGCTAGAATCCATTAAGATGTTTATAATGAAGTGAATTCTAGATGGAATGTGAATTACTTTAATTCTGGTGGAAATGGCGCTCATTAAACTATGTGATTTAAAAGAAAAAAACTTCGTATATGCTTCTTATTTGCTAGATAGCTCACTCATTTTACACGCAAAAAACTTGTAACAGCACTTATTTTAAAGCTTATGTTGAGCACTATAAAACCCAATTTTACCGAAATGCATAAAATGTAAAACCTCGACACTAGATGGCTTTAAATACAACAATTAAATCTTGAACGAAATAAAAAACGGCTTTGCTCTTTCAAATCTTCCTTAATATTTTTCCTAGAACACTTTATGTAATACCGATTTATTAATATTTTTATTGACATTATTTTGTTCATTACATGATTTTCGTTAAAATGTATATTTTAGGAGATATTTGCAAAAAAACGAAGAAAAACGCCAAAAATATATGAATCTTTAGTGGCCAGTAACTTGGAAAGTATTAGTTTTTTTGAAAAACTATAAAAGACATTTTTTCTTATAATTAGTTCTTCTATCGATTTCCGACGTTATTTTGAAAAAATGTAATTACACAATTGAGAGGGGGTGTCATCCCCCTATAGGGTGATGGCGCAACCCGAATTGTTTTCACTTTTGAACTTGAGGGTAAGATGAACCTAATTCCAAAATTTCATTCAATTCGGAGCACAGTAAAAAAAATCAGAGGTTATACCCTTTTTTCCTCTCCGTTTACTGCACTATATACAATTACACTAGAAAATATTTTTATTTTATAATGTTTCAGTCAGATGGGTTCTTACCATTCAAGTATGGTATACACTCAACAAGATATTGCAAGAGTTATAGAGTATGCTGGAAAGTTAGGAATCAGAGTTATGCCAGAATTTGATTCACCAGGTTCGTATTTCCACATTCCACAATTGTAAAAAAAACATAGCTCATTTTTACAACTTGTTGCATCAACCAACAAATTTATTAATTTATAGGACACACAAGATCATGGGGTGTCGCACATCCAGAAATTTTAACTCCATGTTATACAAATGGACAATTGGATGGTACCCTAGGACCCATCGATCCTACACTCAATGAAACATATGAATTTATGGAAAAATTATTGCAGGAAATTATTCAAGTCTTTCCTGATAAATATTTGCATCTTGGTGGTGATGAAGTTGGATTCAGCTGCTGGTAATGAATGATTAATGATCAAGATTGAAATTAATCCGTCGTTGATACTTAATTTTATTGATGATAATATAATTGTTTCTTCTAGGCAAAACAATCCCCACTTAAATGAAAGAATGCGAGCAATGGGTATACCAAATTTGACAAAATTGGAGGAGGTGTATATACAAAAATTGGTGGATATGACAACAAAATTTAATGCAAGTGCTCTGGTTTGGCAAGAAGTATTTGATAATGGTGTATTATTACCAAGCGATACAATTGTGCACATATGGACAGGCGATCACCAAGCTAAACTACAACAGGTTTCTTTCCCAATTTTATCTTATTTATTACTATTGATTTATGGCCTGATAAAAATTATATATATATTTGTATTACAATCAATCGAACAAACCGACGAAATGAAATGAAATATTATAGCATGAATAAATATGCCAAATATTTTAATTGGGTGTAAAACAATGACATAAAAACCTAATCATAAAATCTTACATAATTGTATAATAGCAAATTGATTTTACTAGGGTGGTCCTTAATATGGATATTTTCGAATTTCTTTGCTCCCAGGTGCTCAAATGGTTCCAAAGTGATAAAAACAAACCCTCTGAAAGTTGTAGCTCTTAATATTAACTTTTAGATAGTGCGCAAATCAATCAAACTTCGTATGGAAATAGCATGGAAAAAATTTGAAAAAATAAAAAATAAATTTTTAGGAATAACTTAGCGACAAATGAATTAAAAGTTAAAATTTGTGTCATTTTTTATTGAAAATTCTACGCTCTGCAAAATTTTTGAAACTTTTTCCATGCTATTTCCATACGAAGTTTGATTGAACTGCGCACTATCTAAAAGTTAATATTAAGAGCTAAAACTTACAGAGATTTGTTTTTTATGAATTTGGAACCATTTGAGCCCTTGGGAGCAAGGAAAATCGAAAATGTCCATATTAAGGACCACCCTAATGTATATAATAATTAATTAATTAATTTATGATTGAGATAAACCTTAATTTTCAGGTGACAAGTGCCGGTCTACCTGCCCTCCTCTCCACCTGTTGGTACTTGGACCATTTGGCAACTGGAGGAGATTGGTTGAAATTTTACAAATGTGATCCATGGGATTTTCCAAGTGATAGCCGCCAAAGAGATTTAGTCCTAGGAGGAGAAGCTTGTATGTGGTCAGAAGTTGTTGACGCTAATAATGTTCTTCAAAGGTGAGCCTAAAATTATGTAAGAAAATCTCAGTACCAAAAGTTATGGCTGAGATGGTTAATGATCAGCTGATAAAATATCAACTTTCCAAAAGAGAATTTTATGTTTTGGCTAGGAAGTTCGAGTAGCTAATTATGTTTTCTCAGTATATAATCATTCTGAAATTAATTAGTTAATTATAATTAACTTCCCGTGTATACACAAAACAATAAAGAAGGAATGTTTCCAATTTTTTTATCTTATGAAGGTTGTGTATAAGGTGTCATCTGAATAAAAATAATAAGATATTTCTACAAATACAAACAGACTGACGATGAGTTATTTCTACAAGCAAAACATTGTTATCTGATGTTCTGGATATTATTCAAACATTCGCCTCAAATATTTGCATATAAACGAATTGCCATACAGAACTCTATCTCTTATATTTTGTGATTTTGTATTTTATCAGAGTTTGGCCTCGTGCTTCTGCGGTGGCTGAAAAATTGTGGTCAAAAATGAATGCAGATAATACAAGTTACGCGGCCCGAAGGTTGGAAGAGCATTCTTGTCGCATGAACCGTCGAGGAATACCAGCCCAACCTCCAAATGGCCCTGGTTTTTGCCTGACTTAAGGGAGAAGCAGAAGTATCAAGAAATTTTAAACCAAATCCATTGAGATAATAGAAACAAATGATATTGATACAAAGAACTGATGTTCTTTGCAGCATTAGCCCCTTGAAAAATTGTTGGAACAAACATATCCTTTATCAGTATGTTCTATTTACCAAAACGTTGGATGTGACTTTAGCTTAATATCATATGCCCACTTCTTATATATTACTGAAGTAATTGTATTTTATTCGAAGTAAAACAGTTCGTGAAAGTGTTAAATTCCAAGTGTTCCCTTATCGATTAATATATGTATAAAATATTTATCTAAAATCAGCTGATTAAAATCTTGCTTGTAACATTTGTAAAAATTAGAATATCTAAGATAAGCATATGATATAACTCAAATATTTTTCCATATGTGTCTATTGATTAATTATTATCAACCAGACGATTATCATGGAATTACAACAATAACCAATTACATATTTTACCTATCAGAGAATACAGTAACACTTTTGATTTATTTGTAACACTTTAATAAGAATTTTCCAATATGTTTTCATTTGTCAATCATGAGTCAGAGGACATTTTATTTAATTTTAAACTTTATTCAGTTTGCAATGAATTGTAAGACTGTGAATGTACATTTATTGTTTATATAAATACTTTAAGAAATATAATTCTCAAGTATTTTAAAAATAAAAAATAATCTAATAAGATTGTACACAGCAATTTTATATAAATAATTTAAATAATTAATTATTTAATTAATTTGAATAGTAAGTAGCGCAATTCATTATTCACTATTTAATGGTCAACATAAGTGAAATAGTAAAAAATTAAAAAAATGATTTTTTTACATGAAATTTAAAAAAAAATACACGTATTTTCCATTTATTAAAATATTTGGGAATCAAAATTGATAGATATATCTCATCTCCAAATTGTTATCGGAAAACTGATAAATTGGACATATAAATTTGATAAACAAAAGTTAATTTTGATGAGTCTTTAATTTGTGATAGAACTACATGCTTCAAAGTGATACATAAGGTAAGTTTTGTTTTTATCAATATAATTTAGAGCCTAAATAAAGCATAATAAATGAAATACAATGATAATTTAAAGAATTGTATATTAAACGTAATTTAAATTTTATTAAAGAGCAACTTTACGAAAGCGCTCTATTTGATGTATTATGCTGACTCAGTTCGCAAACCAGTACAAAAACCCATCAGATTTTATTTATACATTTTTAAAACATTATTATTAGGGGACTATTTATCCATAAAATATTAAAAAAAACAAAATAACTGCATTTTTAACTATATGACCATAACACCATTTAAACGACTTAACAATAATATAACTATATACCATTCAGATGTAAATTGATTTCAGTCTGCATTTATATAAACAATTAATCCTTTCCACTCGCGAGTTCCAAGATTTATATGAATTTTGCCGCCGTAGCGGCGGCATCCGAGTGGGAAGGGTTAATTATTATATTGGGTGGAAAGGGTTAATTGCAATATAGGTTGACTTTTTATATTTAATTCGGCTAAAAAACATTTAAACGATAAAGTAGTAATGGTTCGCTCGGTGCAGTTAAGTTATCGCAGATATGTAAAAATATTTAATTTGTATGTAAATTACACGAACACAGATATTGTGTTACAATATTATTGTGCGCGTCTTAGCATAATTTTAAACCTTAATTACTCGATTTCAGCAGTATTTATTTAAGCATTCTACAAAAATGGCAATGTTGGGTTCCATTGCCACATTGTCTGTGTTCATAATACTAGTATTAAGTGTAGTACTAGGAGATTTGATCGAAGAACCAGGTTCAAGAACCAAGCCAACCCAAGGAGCTGTTTGGCCCAAACCTCAACAACAGACCTTCAACAATGAAATTTACTCTCTGAATCCTTATGAATTCAAATTCCAGGTAACTAGGAATCAAAATGTTCAGGAATACATACTGTATTTTTGAATTGGTGCAAAAATAGAATACCAGTAACAATATAGGCTAAAAATATGTTATTGATTGCTATAAAAAATCGACTAAGTCTTATCTTCTCTGTAGATAAAAGCATATATGAAAATATTTTTATCGACGGTTATGAAATTCCCAATCCCCAGATGTTAGATAATTTTTGGATATGATCAATTAGTATATTTCACAACACATTTTGCCTAAAACTTTCTCCAATTCCAATTTTATTTAGAATGAGATCAACGATTGTGCCAATATCAATGCAGCTCTCCAACGCTACAAACATATTTTGGTAAAAAGTTTACCAAAACCATGGAAGAAAAACAGAACACTATTCAGAGGTGAAACTTTGAGTACATTGAAAGTTTTCCTCAATGGAACATGTGAAACTCCATTAGATACTAATATGGACGAGCACTGTAAGTTTTGATCGAAGTAATTACTAGTGAATTTTGATTGTAGTAATAATTGCAGTGTCTAATTTAGTTAGTAATATTAAAAACACTGTAATTTTTCATATTTATGTAGATATCCTAAACTATATCGTTACACCATTAATCGACACTTTATGCTTAATTTTTTTCAATTTAGAATTCTTTGAACTATTTATTTAATAACATTATTTCTAAAAAATAGAGCGTAGTGATTTTTAACAGTTTATATAAAATTATTAGATTTACTACAAAATAATGAAAATAATTTTCCAGACGAACTTAATGTGGTGGCAGGCAGTGACTCTAGATTGATTGCAAACACATATTGGGGAGTAATCAGAGGTCTAGAAACCTTTTCACAATTAGTCTTCCTCGACGAAAAATCTAACACCGTAAGTTTTCTAATATATAACAGTACACATTAAAACAATCCAAATTAACTACGTTTATTAAACAAACAGGAATAAATTTTAACCCAGAAAAAGTTTTAACATCAATTTTAAGTTTTAAAAAGTTAGCAAAGATATAATTATATTTATATGACGCAATGATTAATATTAACTTTTATGCAAATTAATAAAAATTATTTTTTTTCAGATCCAAATCAAAGGGACTAAAATTGTTGATTTTCCTAGATTTTCACACCGTGGAATATTATTGGACACCTCCAGACACTTTATGCCTGTGAAAACTATTTACAAACTTTTGGACGCAATGTCTTATAATAAGATGAATGTTTTCCATTGGCACATTGTTGATGACCAAAGTTTCCCATACAACAGTATTACCTTCCCTGAACTCAGGTAATAGAAAAAATATACTTTTCATATTTTACGCCCTAACGCTTTATTATATATTAATGATATGAATAAAGAATATTGCAAGCTACTATATATATATGTATGAAATATCACTTTGAAAATTGATTTTTTAATATATTTATTTTTATCCAGCGAAAAGGGCGCTTTTCATTATACTATGGTATATTCGCAAGCGGATATCGCAGCCATAATTGCCTATGCCAAAACATTGGGAATTAGAGTCATGCCAGAATTTGATTCTCCTGGTGAGTATATTAAATATATTAATAAATTAAATTAACTGCAAATCACTATGCCCAGTAATAATAGAAAAAACATTATTGCTAACTACAATTTTATCACAATATTATCAGGACATACAAGATCCTGGGGTGTATCGCATCCTGAGTTACTTACCGCATGCTACAAAGATGGTAAACCAGATGGAACTTATGGTGCAGTTGATCCAACTTTGAACACAACTTACATATTTTTCGAAAAATTACTGAAAGAGATCAGTGAGGTGTTTCCGGATAAATATTTACATCTTGGAGGTGATGAGGTTGGATTCGATTGCTGGTGAGAATAATGTTATTCTAGACAAACAATAACATTATGTAATTATAACATTTTCCATTATTTTTATAATAGGTTAAGTAATCCTGATTTAATTGCACGAATGGATTTCTTAGGAATTGAAAATGTTAGAAAACTGGAGGAAGTATTCATTCAAAGATTAGTGGATATGACCACTAAATTAGGCGCAAGTGCTCTAGTGTGGCAAGAAGTATTCGAAAACGGTGTTGTTTTGCCAAATGGCACCATTGTACATATATGGACTGGTGACCAAAAGCAAAAGCTCAATCAAGTAATTGTTGATTTTAGATATTCATTATAAATTAGACTATAAACAATTTTAAATATTGATTCATTTATTTTTGTTCATTTATTATATAGATAACAGGGGCTGGTCTTCCAGCTTTGCTTTCCGCCTGCTGGTATTTAGATCACATAGCAGGCGGTGGTGATTGGAACAAATATTATAACTGTGACCCATGGGATTTCCCTGGAGACGACAAACAAAAGAAATTGGTGCTCGGAGGTGAGGCTTGCATGTGGGCCGAAGTTGTAGACAAAACCAATGTGTTGCAAAGGTAAACAATAAAATATTTTTATCTAAAAATTGTGGGTAAATTTAATTCAATTTATAGGATTTGGCCACGTGCATCGGCAGTAGCTGAAAAATTGTGGTCAGCTCAGAACGCTGATAATACGAATGAGGCGTCCAAACGATTGGAAGAACATTCCTGCAGAATGAATAGACGTGGTATACCATCACAACCACCGAATGGTCCAGGCTACTGTTTAATGTAAAAAGATTCTGTTATATACCACACTTTTGGTAAACAGGCATATGCAATTTTATAGAATTATATGTATTTTTATAGATAAAATAAAAAAATAATATAAACTAAGGTAACTTTTATTTCTCAATATTGATATGTTATTAATCTAAATCAGCAGTCACATCAGTTTTCACTTGAGAACATAAAAAGCAATATGTTCCCAAATAAAAATATCCAATACTCTGCATTTATTTATTTATTCATGGCAAGCTGTTATGAATAATAATAAATATTATTTCAGGCTCTAGTCAATCTTGGTGCATCAATAAAAAATGCATTAGAATTACAAAAATTGAAGACAGGACAATCGATTGAGTTGCCATCATACATCAGCCACATCATTAAAGACTTAACACTGGAACTCGTTAAGTTCTGATTACTGTTAAAAATTATAATCTTGATGTAATTATAATTATTATCTATAATTATCACGTCAAAGTAGATTTTCAGATATAAAACACGAAAACAATGCCAATTGCCTGCACACTGCACTTGGATGAGAATTGAATGAATTGCAAATTATTTTAATGTGCTGTTTTTAAATTACGTTTTAGATTTTTATTGGTTATGATAACGCGTTTTTGATAAAAAAAAATTCCATAACGGTTATACTAAAATGCATAAAGATTGCCATACGCATAATAAAGAAAGATTAAGTATAATAAACGCTGTATAATAAATTTATCAAAAATATGCTTCCATAAATTTTGCATGTAACAAATGTAAATATAGGCACAATTGAAAAATCTTCATTACAACTCAGATGGTTTTCCATGCAAGTCTCCATTAAATAATTTTGAGGGTCTATTGCCGGAGGGTTATCATCAATTTAAAGGAACAATCATTCACAAAAATATTAATTTAAATTTGCTCATATCTCGTTTCAGATACAAATTATTAGCAATCATAATCATGCATCTAGAAGACCAGAAGTAAGCATTTTTAATAAATATAATGTATCTATATGAACTTTATACTCAGTTTTCAATAGATTGCAAATTGCATGGTGTGAATTTTAAGCAAATATTATGAATGCATTTTTATTATTTAGGTATTCAACTTAAGAAAACCAATACCCAAATATGTTAAAAAAACAGAATAATTAAAAAATTATGAACATTAAATTCATATACCTTAACAGCATAAATAATCCTTAATTATTACCATGTCTTAACGTGCACTGCACAACAAAAATTATAATAAATATGCACACAGAAATTGATTTCACATACAATTTAAAAAAGAAATACCCATGTTTTGTGCAAAGTTCAAAAAATTTGAGAGTTACCAAAATTGAACAATCTGCAGCTCATCTCCAATTTGTTATCAAAAAACTGATAAATTGGGCATATAAATTTGATAAATAATAGTCTTTTTGATGAGTTTTTAATTTGTGTTAGGATTATATACTTCAAATTGTTACATAAGGTAAGATTTTGTATTCATCAATATTATTCAAAGAGATGGGATTTGAATCAGAGGTGCCAAGTTCGATACCCGCTTCAATCAGTAGTGATATGAATTTTTACTTGGAAATATAGCTGGCAGAACCTTTAAGTTCAAATTGTTGTTCAAATAAAAATAAGGAGAATAAGTACTCAAATAGTGCATTTTATTAACAAGCAACATAACAAGAGAAAAGCAAGAAAGCTTCAAATTAAATGACCTTTTATCAATAAAACACAAAAAGCAATATCACCTGGTCCAAGTACATTTTACCACAGCTGTAAATTTATTTCAGTTCGCACAATATATTATTATAATAAAAATATTAAATATTATTATATTGCCATGTAAATATAATATCGAAATTTTAATTATTCGATTTCAGCAGTATTTATTTTTATTTGGGAAAGCATTGTCGGAAAATGGTAATGTTGCGTTTCATTACCACACTGTCTGTGTTTTTATTAGTATTAAATGCAGTATCATGTGATTACATCGAGGAACCAGGCCCAAGAACCAAGCCAACACAAGGAGCTGTTTGGCCCAAACCTCAAGAACAAACCTTCAACAACGAAATATACTCTCTGAATCCTTATGAATTCAAATTCCAGGTAAACAAAAATACAAATTTTAATAAATAAAATCATATTTTAAAGAGCCTAACACTTTTCCATTTTGTTTCTTCAATTTCAATTAGAATGAGATCAACGATTGTGCCAATATCAATGCAGCCCTCCAACGCTACAAAAATATTTTGGTAAAAAGCTTACCAAAACCATGGAAGAAAAACAGACTACTATTCAGAGGTGAAACCTTGAGTACATTGAAAGTTTTCCTCAATGGAACATGTGAAACTCCATTAGATACAAATATGGACGAGCACTGTAAGTTTTGATTGAAGTAGTTATACTAGTGTATTTTGATTGCAGTATTAACTGTAGTGTCTAATTTAGTTAGCAAAATTAAAAACACCGTAATCTTTAATATTTATATTGACTTCCTTATCTATATCATTATACAATTAATCTACTTTATGTTTAATTTTTTTTTCAATTTAAAATTCTTTGAACTGTTTATTTAATAACATTAGTTCCAAAAAATAGGGTGTAGTGGTTTTAAACAGTTTATATCAAATTATTGAATTTACTACAAAATAATAAAAATAATTTTCCAGACGAACTCAATGTGGTGGCAGGCAGTGACTCCAGATTGATTGCAAACACATATTGGGGAGTAATCAGAGGTCTAGAGACCTTTTCACAATTAGTCTTCCTCGACGAAAAATCTAACACCGTAAGTTTTCTAATATATAATTTAATAAAAAAAAAACTTTGAATTGCATGTAAAATTGATTCTGGACCTTTCTATTCAATTACTATCAACAACTTTTATGAAAGATATTGAAAAGTTATTTCTTTCAGATCCAAATTAAAGGCACCAAAATTGTCGATTATCCAAGATTTTCACACCGTGGATTATTATTAGACACTTCCAGACACTTTATGCCTGTAAAAACTATTATTGATATTCTGGACGCAATGTCTTATAATAAGATGAATGTTTTCCATTGGCACATTGTTGATGACCAAAGTTTTCCATACCAAAGTATTACATTCCCTGAACTCAGGTAAGAGAAATAACATATTCCATGCCACGATTTATTAGTTAACACGTTTATTTTTATCTAGCGAAAAGGGCGCTTTTCATCAAACCATGGTTTATTCGCAAACAGATATCGCAACCATAATTGCCTATGCCAAAACATTGGGAATTAGAGTCATGCCTGAATTTGATTCTCCCGGTGAGATTAAATATATTAATAAATTAAATTAACTGCAAATCACTATACCCAATAATAATAAAAAAAAACATTATTGCTAACTACAATTTTATCACAATATTATCAGGACATACAAGATCCTGGGGTGTATCGCATCCTGAGATACTAACTGCATGCTACAAAGATGGCAAACCAGATGGAACTTATGGGGCAATTGATCCAACTTTAAACACAACTTATACTTTCTTCGAAAATCTACTCAAAGAGATCAGTGAGGTGTTTCTAGATAAATACTTGCATCTTGGAGGTGATGAAGTTGGATTCAATTGCTGGTGAGAACAATGTAATGTATCCATAGATAAATAACATTTTATAAAATCATAAATTTTTAATTATAACCATAGGTTGAGTAATCCTGAATTAATTGCACGAATGGAGTTCTTAGGTATTGAAAATGTTAGAAAATTGGAAGAAGTATTCATACAAAGATTAGTGGATATGACCACTAAATTGGGCGCAAGTGCTCTAGTGTGGCAAGAAGTATTCGATAACGGTGTTATTCTGCCAAATGGAACCATTGTACATATATGGGTTGGTGATCACAGGCAAAAGCTCAATCAAGTAATTATTGACTTTAGATATTAATTATAAATTTGACGATAAATGAACAAAAAAAGCGTATAACAACGTATTGAAATAAAATAGTCACTACTTCTTGTATGTCCTTACTATATACAGAATTATATAGGTAACCGGGGCTGGTCTTCCAGCTTTGCTTTCCACTTGCTGGTATTTAAGCCAAATATCTGGCGGTGGTGATTGGAACAAATATTATAACTGTGACCCGTGGGATTTTCCTGGAGACGACAAACAAAAGAAATTGGTAATTGGCGGTGAGGCTTGCATGTGGGCAGAATATGTAGACAAAACTAATGTTTTGCAAAGGTAAAGAAATAAAATATATTTAATTAACAATCGTATTCACATTTAATTCGATTTATAGGATTTGGCCACGTGCATCGGCAGTAGCTGAAAAATTGTGGTCAGCTCAGAACGCTGATAATACGAATGAGGCGTCCAAACGATTGGAAGAACATTCCTGCAGAATGAATAGACGTGGTATACCATCACAACCACCGAATGGTCCAGGCTACTGTTTAATGTAAAAAGATATTGCTGTAAATTACATACCACATTTTTTGGTAAACAGGCATATGCAATTTTATAGAATTATATGTATTTTTATAGATAAAATACAAAAAATAAAATAGAAAAAGATAACATTTATTCCTTAATCATGGTAAGTAAATGGTCAACTTAAGTATTAATACAAATGGACGTTCATAAGACAACCCTCAATAAAATATTATCTAGTTCGAAAGAAATTAATTCTCTAATATTAAAACTTCTAATTATTGGCGAAATTCATATGTTTTAACTAAATATTTCATTACTTTATCTATTTATTTATCAACAGAATAAAATATCTTAAATAATTACAAAGATGGATATATGTGTGTGCATGTGTGTGTGCGTGTGTGCGGATACAAATTTTCGTCGACGATTCCGGCAACACCGATCAAGGGATTTGAATAATTCAAAAAACATTCGATTCGTATTCATAAGGAGACGTGCTGATTAGTTTTTGGCGAAGGCAGGTCTAGCCATTCCGAAGATACGGGGCAAAACGTGCCAAAAACGGCAACTCAGTTTTTAAGAGAGCGGAGCGTCCGATTTTAATAATTCAAAAAACATTTTACTTGTATTGACAAGATGAAGAACTGATTGAATTTTTGGGAAGGCAGGTTCAGCGGTTAAGGACTCTCAACAAAAATAAATTTATATGTAATTTGGCGGTCAAATATGTTTATTGGACATATGTACATCAAATTGTAAGATTTCATAGAGATTTTAATAATGTGTGCACATTTTGTGTAATTTTTTTTGGGTTCCGTACCAAGATTTTTAATTACTGTACGGGAAGTTCCTGCAATTTGCCTTAAGGCATGATGCCATGCACCCCAATAATGAAATTAGTGATCACTGAAAATCTAGAACATGTCACCATGATTTAGATTTTCAGATTTAAATACATATTGTTGAAAGAATGCTACTTATATAATACAAGAATGTAAACATTTTCCATCGATATATAATTTGATACGTGAGTTAACTAGAGTAGATATCAACGTGCCAAGAAAGAAACAAAAATTTTACAGTCTGAATTATTATTTTTACTATATTATTAAAGTATTATCTATAAATACTACTTACCAGGTTGAAGTGGATTTTCACATATCAAACACAAAAACAATTACAAAGCACAAATATTCCCCGCACTTCTATGAGAATTGAATGAATTGTAAATTATTTTAAAGTGTTTATGAATCACGCATTCGATTTTATAGGTTATGATAATAACAAAATTTTAATCCTTAATTGTGTTATGGTAAAGCCATGTTACGCTCCAACTTCCAAACAATATGCTACTGAATCATACTGAATCCTGTCAAAATGTCATGGATTTACTGTGCATTTAGTAGTTTTACACATAAACTGTAATGTCACTCATGTTATGGAGCTGAGTCAGAAAGACCCTGTTATCTATAATCATTTTTTTTACATTTGTGCGGTTTCTAGGTTAGGTTTTCTATCCAACAACCTGAGAAATATGCCTGACTGCACACTAACCACATGGCCTTTGCCAATATTTAATTTCTGCATGCTGCAAGTACTAATACTCTGTATTTTCTTTATTATATAATGCCAACGCTAAAAAATGATAATTTAAAAATTTTGAATGCACATCCTCGACGAACGAAAAACAAATTCACGTTTTTGACTTTTCATCACAATGGCGTTGCAACATAGTTAAATACATAGATAACGAATAGTACATATGGATAAATATAAGCATACTCATTAATTTATTTAACACCTGAGCAAAACTTTACTTCTTTTTTAATATTAATATTTCTAATTTTTTGTTTTAAATGACAACCACATATTTTTTATTCTCTTCTTTTTCCTATGCACATAAGAATGAAATCACATTTGAATTTAAACAGTTTGAGAGCTGCACCAATATCTAATTGTAATAATCTCAAATGAGAACATAAAAACATGAATTGATAGTTTAAAGGTAACAATCACTCACTGTAACAAACAAAACGCCTCGAATGCCAAATATAGCAAAAGTGTTATTAACTTTTCATTTACGTATTTTATATTTTTTAATATAAAAATGATGAAGGTCATTTAGAGTTTGTATTTAAATGTTTATTTTGATGACTTAATATTTAAATTATATAGTACATTCTTCTTAGTCCTGTTATGCAATTTATTAATCAAGACAGATCTAAAAATTATTTTATCATTGTAAAAATTGACTCTAGAGTTCATATATTTATATATATATTTATAAATCATTCCGATAAATAGCCTAATTCTTGCATTATTTCATAATTCTTAAATCAAAATATTAACACAAAAACTAATTTCGCAAGCAAAACTTTCACATGTACAAAATCTGCACTGTTATGTAAATGTATTGTTCAGCATCCTGATTACATAATGATTCATTTCATCGACAGAGTTCTATATTTTATTAGTGGATATTTCTAGTTATCATCAATGCACATAGAGGATTAACCATATAATCAAGATTACGCAAAAAATATTTAGGGTAGTTAGTTCGGAGTCCAATAAGGAGATTGTGAGTATCCTTGTTTACCACTCGACTTCTGTTGAGAAGAAGATTGAGTACGTTGACCACTACCATTGCCAGAATCCTAAAAACACAAACCAATCAGATTTAATCAAAAATTTTAAAAACACTAATTCAAAATATAACTATTGATTACAAATTATATGAACTACAGGAATACTCACCCTGTGACTAACTTGTGAAGTGCCCCCATATATCTACAAAAAAAATTCAAAACAAAATCAGAAACAAAATCAAATCAAAGAAAAATGGTTATAATAAAACAGACTAAATCAACAAAAGTTACAGGGGCACTGTATTTGAAAACTCAGACTTGAAATGTAAAATAAATTCTAGAAAACATTTCTAATAACCCATAGACAGAAAAGTAAATTACCAAATTGTACAGAAGCTTTAAAATGAAACCAAATTTCCACAAGATTATCTTTAAATATTTAACAAAAGTTAAGTAAGACAAACCTGATGCAAAGGCTGATGCAGCATCTGTGTATTATGATGAGCTTGTTGGTGAGGTGCCATTGTTGGTATAAATAAATGCGGAGCCCCATAAGTAGTACCACTGGAACCACTTCCTGGCATGTTGAACGGTGGTGGTGTGCCCGAATGAAATGTTTGCTTCTCATAAGACTATTTATAAAAAAAAATTATATACAGCCATTCTTAAGATAATTAGTTAATGAAGAAAATATCAACCAACTTTATAAAAGTTGATGTAATTCAAATAAAGTTAATACTTACATTAACTTTATTTAATGCTGTATGAGTTTTATTATACATAGCGCTTGCTATATCTGTGTTATTTGCACCTGTCTGCACATTAGCACCCTGACTGTTTGGACCAACACTCCCCGATGTAGTTGTATTGGATTTGCCAGATACCTACAAATATCAACACAATAGAATCCAAAGCACACAACTGACCTTTTATATTAATTATTCAAAAAGAATGTATATATTTTAATGAACACAATATTTAATAAAAAACTTATGTACCTCAAAAATATATTAGAAGTACATTTTTAGCTTCTTTCTTAGGGGCAGTACGTTATAAACTGATTATTAGAATTTAATTTGTAGAAACCAAGAACATTCTTCAGATAGATATATTATTTATACCTGAGGCACCACTGTAGTACCGCTAACACTTCCTCCTGGACCATAAGAACCACTGGGTTTTGTATAATCTTGGCTTTGGCTTAGTGATTCATAACCTGCATTATAACCAGAATAAGAAGGCTTGGGGTATCCACTATTGGTTGTTGAACCATGTGCATTTGCTGTTGTAGCCATTTGCTGAATAAAAATTTCAATGAATACAAAAAACTTTTCACATGAATATATACACAAGAATAAAATACACTGAATTACATACTGGATATAATGTAGGAGTGCCATACTGGTAACTTCCAGGTAACATTCCACCTCCGTAATAATAAGCCTCCATGTATCCTGGTGGTAATGTAGGATTTAATATTGGACCACCAGTATGCTGACCTGTTGCTGTGGGTTGTGACAGTGTACTTGGCACTGGACTAGCATTGCTATCAGCTCTAGTAAAACGACCATCGGGCATTGAGTATGCCACTGAACCAATAGTGCCTTCTCTTCCAGTACTTAAAGTTGTTGGGGTTTGATACCCCATATTGTAGTAGCCAGTTGCCTTCCATTGTAGCAAAATGTTTAGTTAGTTACAATTTCAAATAAAATATATAATAATAATCAATATATATGAATATGCACACCAATTTTAATAAGGCTTTAAATACTAACCATATGTGGCATACGTTGTTGAAGCATTTGTAACTCTTCAAATGAGTATAAAGGTTGTTGATAAAATGGAACCCCGGCTTGGCCCATTATATATTGCACTGGCACACCACTTGATCCAGCAGTAATACCACTACTAGACCCACTTCCACTATTTGCAGCGGAACTGCTGGTAGCAGATGAGGATACCATCACAGATGAGGAATTTGCACTAACTATTGGAGTTTTATTTGAATTACCTGATAAAAAAGATAATAGCATAACATTTCTTTCCCAATTTTTCATTTTAATATGTTTTTTTGTAAGTGTCATATAGCATTCTAATGATATCCAAGTAGTGCAAATCCATAAATTTAAGTCTTTATGAACTCTGTTATGATACAAATACAAATTTACATAGTACTTAAGGTACTAACAAAAACAAATTATTCATTCTATATATAGAATAAAGAATAAATTAAATACCTGTAGAATTGTTGGACTTAGACACTGTCGTAGCTAATCCCAAAACAGGTGAACTCACACTAGCACTAGTAGAAACTAAATTTCCAGATACACTGCTAACTGGATTATCATACTGAAAATCACGATTACATAAGATACCATAAGATAAAATAAATCAAGTCAGCATAACTTATTTGATTATTAGCTTTCAAACCTGAGAATCCTTGTTAGATAACTTATGTGAGCCTGCATTTGTGGAGTAACTATTATATTGACCAGATGTAATGTTAGTGGGAATACTACTAGAAGTAGAATAACTGGATGTATTATTAGCCAAAGCGGAGTTAGTTCCATAAACTGACTGGTTATTTGTAGTATTCTGAAAAATCATTCCATATGCCGTGTCTCACAAAATTAAGAATTTCATATCATGCACTGTGATTTTTAATATGATTACACAATGACAAACTCTTGCATTTTCAATATGTCAGTAAAACAATGATGCTATAAGCTACTTATGTGCATAAGCACACAAACGGTGTATGTATGTATATATATATATATATATATATATATATATATATATATATATATATATATATATATATATATATATATATATATATATATATATATTTGTATACATATATTTTTGTATATATTTGGCAAAAATAAAATTAATCAAGAAATCTTAATGAATTCATAGAGTCTTTATGGATCATGTTATAATATTCCAAGAAAAGAATGCAAACTAATGTAGCTACCACCATCAGTACAGCACTAAAATTTTTACTCAACAAGATTGCGTAAATCCAGATTAAATTACATGAAAATAAATTTTATGAATTGTAATTTACACATTGTAATTTTTGCCAAATTTCTACATTGATTGAGCAAGAACTACGAATTATGATTTATACCTGGTATGAGTTTTGATTTTGCGCAGGATAACTTCCAACTTGCTGATTCATGAAGGTGCTCTGAGATGAATATCCAAGTTGCACACCGGTTACATTAGGAACTGATTGGGATGAATACCCTGCAGGAGCTGTTGAAACTGCTGATGCTGTACTTATGCTTTGGGATGAATAACTTCCAACATTCGCCGACACTGAAGACGTATTTGGATAACCAACTCCAACAGAATTATTACTAATATAACCTGAAGGAAGAGTTTGGCTTGCCCCATATGAATTCACAGACTGCTGTTGCTGGTAACAAATTATGTTATAAGAATAAAGTATTTTCATTATTCATTTTCAATAGCTATACTAGTATAAAGCTTACTGTGTTTGAATAATAAGGCGTAGAAGTTTGATATGCTGATTGAGATTTTGAATAACTATTTGTTTGGAACTGAGAAACTGTGTTCGTAACAGGCTGGTTAAATGTGTGGTTATCAGTCTTAGATGAAAGTTGATCTGCAACTAAAAATAAAGAATACATTTAAAATTATGGTTATTACTCATCAAAAATGTTTTTTAAACATACCAGTACTGTTATTTGCATTAGCAGGACTTATACAAGAAGTAACTGAATTACTACTTCTGTTCTGTGAGGAATAATTGGGTACAGAACTCAAGTTATGATCAGAGATTTGAGTCATAGTATCACCTGCTACCTACAAAATTATTTTCCATTTGTATTACACAAAATTGATAATTTTTCCCAACACATGATGAATATATGATTATATTCTATATATTTTTTTCATACCTTTTGTGAGGTTTGTGATGTGTTAGAAGGTGTGGGTTTATAACTACTATCTAATGATGCATCCACATTATGTGTTGATCCTAACTGTTGCTGAGATACAGGTATTGACGATATCGAAGAATCAAACTTCGAGTTTGAAATAATTGAAGAATTCGTACTATCCAGATTACTTTCAAATGAGCTGGTATCACTCCCAAATTCAAGAGCACCAAATTGAACATCCAGAAAACCGACAGATGTATTTAGATCAGCAGGCATCTCAACAGCCGTAGCAGGAATCTAATGATTTAAATTTTAGTGAAAGAAAATACTAAATACTTAATTTCATTATAAAATTAAAATAAAATTTAGCAATGATGTGCACATTATTGTATACAATTATCTTTGGCTTGAAAAACACCAAACCATATTTCTGTAATACCTTTGAAGGTGGTGGTACACGAGCTCTTTGTTTCCTTTGCTGTGAAACATTAGAAGTAGCTTCTTGTACAGCACCAGCATAGCTTGGGTTACCATTACCATAGTTGATTTGATGCTGATTTACACCATACACAGGTGCAGCATTGCTTATGTAATTACTGCTGCCAGTTGTAGTACCATAAGTCATATTTACAGTTTGTTGTTGACCTTTTATGTCACAAGATTGTGAATTTTGTTGTGTTAGAGTTGTGAAGTACTGTGTTTGTTCAGCAGATAGAGATCCTGAGACCTGAATTATAAAATTTTGGTATCATAAAGAAATACAAGTTTAAATTATATTATGACCAAATAATCCATGTATCATTTCAGAAAACTTACTTGTGTAGGATTTGAATGAATTTCAAGAGCCTGGGTTAGCTGTTGAGCTGCAGTTGGAGGAGGATGAATTTCAGGTAAAGCATGATTAGATATATTATTGGCATTTCCTGGTACAAGCAATGCATCATGCGTTTCCAGTGAATTATGATGAGGCCCACTACTCACCACAGCACTTGAATACTGCATAATACCATTTACATTTATATCATATATTATTGGATTTAAATAAATTTGTTTTAACTTCATTCATTAGTTGAAATGAAATAAGAACCTTAATGTTAATAATGCAGTTTATTAAAATTAGAAAACCCAGATCAAATAAAGATGCATAGTTTCATAACAATTATCATTCTTTATTATGAGTGATAAAGACTCATGAATAACATTTTGTTAAAATAATTTTTAGTTTCAATGATGCCATAAAAACATTAAATATATTAACGGTTGTAAAAATAATGCAATTTATTATAAATTGATCCTAATAAAAATATTTCATACCTGTACTTCAGACAAATACTGTTGATTATCCGCAGCAGATTGTGCATTAGGATTTATTTCTGGAATTGGATTCTCACTAGGAGTAAAAACTTTGGTGTCAGCTAAGCTACCAGTATATTCTTCATTATCCCAGTCTTCGGGAGAAGGAAAATTATCTGAATCATAAAAAGCATGTTATAAAACTATAAATATATGAGCTTAGTTAAGTTATTTTTTATCATCAAAGAAAATAAAGTAAATGTAAAACTTATGTAATCACCAGTCTTTCCGTTGTTAAATTGTGTATTTGTATCAACATCATCCCAACATTCAACTTGGTCCTCATTTTGGTTCCGATGCTGAGACCGAGAATCCAACCGAGACTGGAATGAACGGCCACCAGCACCCCTGAAAATCATAACGTCACAATAAGACATTTCTATAAACTATATTTAGTATATAAATGTTTGTTGAGTGACACAAATAGTTTCATTTAAAGTTGGTTTCAAATAAACCACAAGGTTTAGCAACCTTTTATAATAATTAAGTATGTTCATATCTAATTTTGTATTATAATATGATTTTATTTAAATACCCTGCTCGTCCACCCCTGCCCCCTCGTCCACCATATCCTCTTCCACCCCCTCGTCCACCTCTCCTGTCTCTATGATATCCACCACCACCTTCCCTAAAACTGGGATGTGTACCATCATCTTGATGATTATTACGATCATTCTCGCGTGCCTCACGTCCCCTCCCTTGAAACATTAAATACATGTAATATATATAAACTAAAAATAATCTAATCCTAATATTAATCCACTTACACCCACGACTGTCTAAATTTCCTCTTCTGCCTCCTCGTGGACCTCTGCCTCTGCCACTGCCACGGTGAGACCCGTGGCCAGCTACATTATTCTGTCCAGTTGACTGATCATCACCAGCTCCACTGATTGCAGCATTAGAATGATCCCAATCTTCACCAGTATCGCAAACATTATTCATGTTGTTATTACGAGAATCTGCATGCCCCACATTACCACTTGTGCTATTTAGACGATTCTTTTTCTTTTTCACTGATGTTTCCCAAGCAGTCTTAAAAATGAAATATATAATAATTTAATAAACATAAGACAAAATGAATGTAAATATGGCATAAAGATAATCTTACTTGAGAATTAGTTGATTCAAATAAGAGATTTACTGCTCTGTCAACATCATTATCACAATCATGTAAAGCAGAACAAACTTCCTCTTCTGATCTAAAAGTGGTTTCCATCATAGTAATGACTTTCTCCCGAATTCCTGGATCATCGGTACGCACATCCATTATTTGAGCAATGCGCATTTGCTCTGCCGTAGGCTGAAAAATCATTAGCAACATGTTTATTGTAAGTAATGTAATTGTTTTATTATAAAAACAACTATATGCAACAATATCATTTGTCAATAAATATAAATTCATCACTAGTAAGTACTCTGTATAGAAATGTGATTCAAACCTTTCAATCAGGTATTATTATGTGACTTGCAAGATATTCAGGTACAATATATTTATTTTAAAATAGAAATAAATACAATACCTGTATTTTATCCTGGTTTTTTACTGTATCTTGTCCACTAGCAGAATTTAATTTATTTTTTGTGCTGACGGCATTCTGATTCTTATTTGTGACACTGTTGGTGAGATTATTAATAGAAGTGCCTTTATTATTTGTCCCACCAGACGACCGCTGGATCCGTGTACCAGAACTCATTTTCTGTTTATGTGTGTAAGTACACACTGTGTGTATATCTTATAGTGAACTATATACAATAGTATTTACAATCTGAAATATCAAACCAAAGACATTTTAGAAATGTGTTCTGAAAATTTTGCAATATTGAAAAAAAATTCTAAACACTAAATTCCTCACTGACTCATCACATCATAAATTGTAAGAAAATAACTTTGTGCAACTAAGTACAATGCAATTCAACACTTTCTGTTCAAAATTTGACTAATCCTTAATGCACAATAACGCAAGCAACCAATTTTTTTCGATTAATAATGCGTAATTATTTATTTTTGATTATTTGACGGATAAACTCATTGAACCTTAGGATGTACCGGACAAAAGAATGATAGCGAGAACAATATCACTTCTCATTCTCATTATTCTTCAAATGAAAGAAAGCCCACATATCTTGCACGCTTTATTTATATAACTATACGCTTCAATAGAAGCAAAAATGTGAATTTATATCTAATATATTAATATTTAACCAAACACATGTGGAAGACGCCATTGATTCATGTTTAGGTTTAGATCTTAAGGAACTTCATATATTGACAACTCCGTACGCATACAAAAAAAAAAACTATTTTTGCGTCGACTTCTATCGAATCTTAAATAGCAAAAATCATTTACCACACATTTAAAGCACTCAACACTTATATTTTTATTCACTGACAAATTATTATCAACTTGGAATGTTTATAACTATAACAAAAAAAACAAAATATATTATCTTTATCATACCTGCAAATGCGCTCAAAACGCGGTCGCCGTACTGCCTCTACGGCTGCTACGTCTAGATGTCTACGCATTACGATTGCATGTGACGTTCGTATGAATCAATTCAATGATTATTTGAATTAAAGCGGAAAAAATCGCCCTTTAATATTATTTTATGAAATATATTTTACTTACGCAAAGTAATTATATCTTATGATAATATTCTTTAAAAGTTTCCATATCACATCCGAATCATGTAATATAAAATATATTAATAACTATATTTTAATTTTTTTGTAGAAATTCATTCCAGTGTGGGCTATTTTTTTTTTCATTCTCAATAAAGGTGTTTTTAATATTCTGATACAGATTAAAACCGTAAATTGAATCTAGTTACTTAAATTGATATTTAACTACTAAAAATTGAACCAGATCTTTAATCTATTTTTAGCAGCTACGTCGATCGGATAGTTTTTACACTAGACAAAAATATAAAAACCCTGATGATTACATAATACAAAGAGGTACTTTTGATAATTTTCATCAATTTTTTAAATAACGTAGCTGTTTTCCATTACAAATTTAAAACCCGCGCTTTTGACAAATATCTCCTATGTTGCCTTGCTGATGCGGACATTTGTAAATGTGTCATTGTTTCGAACTTGTATGCAAAAAATTAGAAGGCCGTTTTTCTCGACAGCCGAATGAGTGCTGCGTCATTTTTTTTTTTGAAATTTCACTTTTTTGTATAGTAATAAATTGATAAAGTTTTAGTAAAAATGGGGTCGAGACTTCAAGAATGTAAAGATAATTTAGAAAAATCTTTAAATGATAATACTAAACCTTGGGCATCAGTTTTGCAGTGGGCAGAAACTAAAACCGGCGTTAATCGCTTATACTTATTTGTTGGTAAGTTATTTATTTTATTTTGTTTCATTATTAATTAGCTTAATTTTGGATATTGCATATGAAATTCTATTTCCTACAGAACTAGTTCACTTCTTGCTTAGTAAGCAACATTGAACTTTGGTTCAAGCATATAACATATAATTTTTTTTAAATCTTTGTAATTGCAGGTTTTGTTGCATTTACTTCACTTTACTTGGTTTTTGGTTTTGGAGCTCAGTTGGTATGTAATATTATTGGATTTATGTATCCTGCTTACGCTTCAATGAAAGCTATTGAATCTCCTCAAAAAGATGATGACACTAAATGGCTCACATACTGGGTTTCATTTGCTGCCTTCTCAATCATCGAGTATTTTGCAGATATGCTTGTATACTGGATTCCATTTTACTGGCTCTTGAAGGTATATTTACCATAAACTGACGAGGCAGTCTTCAAACAATAAATATTATTTTCATTTTTTTCAGTGTATATTCCACGTATGGGCATTTATGCCTATTGCAGAATTAAATGGATCTCTCATGATTTACAGGAAGTTGGTTAGACCATACTTTTTAAAATATCACGCTTCAGTTGACTCCACATTTAATACTCTCACTGATCAAGGTAATTTAATAAGTATATTCTTAATATGTAAACATACATAAAAAATATGAAGTCTATATAGTACATTTTTAGTATACTTAATAATTAATAAATTACATTTATTATTTATTCATTTTTAATGTTTTGTTTCAGCTAAAAATGTGATTGGAGACGCTCTTAAAAAGAATGTTAAGTTAAGTTAGGGTTCGCCCATTTAAATCTTCTCAAATAACATCTAAAATGTTTGAGTAACACTTCTCATAATTTTAATTGTAAATTATAAAAATCTCTTAAAATTTTATTTGTAATGTGCATGTTAGAAATAAATAGTTTTATGTAAAGATGTTACTTGCTGGAAAATTAAATCTGTATGTATATAATAAATACATAGTTAAATAAAACTTTATCTTTAATTTTAGCATATGAAAAATAAATTAAATGATATTTTAATACTACTAATAAATATTTATTAATATAAGCATAAACATTAACTATGTATATAAAAATTTTAAATGAAGAATGCTGAACTATGCTTTAAACATTTTAATTACACCTTTGTTTGTGCAGCGCTATCATTTTCTTCTTTTGATTGCGCATTTAATTTTCTGTTTCTCCACGCTGTCATATATGTTCTGGGATGAATTGGGTAATACCCAGATAAGCCTAGATTTTAAAATCTGTGAGTAACAAAAATTGGTTTCGTGTATTTAATTATTATAAAAGAATACCTAAAAGTTCTGCAACTGGTTCAGATAAATGCGCCCCGCTCCCCAGCCAGTATCGAATTCTTTCAAAATTAAATGAAACCAATTTTTCATTATATTGATTTGGTAAGGGGTCATACGTTCCTACCTGTTCAATAACTGGCTGATGTTGATCTCTTCGCCTCTGAAATGGAGCACGAATTACATTAGAATAGAGTTAATCCAATAACAATAGATTCTTCTTTCAAAAATTGAATATATTTCTTTTATTAACCTCAGTTACGACTATGTGAAAGAACGGTCTATTTGTGCAACCGTGTCTAGCAAATCTTATAATTTTAGCTGATAATTTATAAAATTTTCCTGTGCCGCTAGCAGGAGAAAGAGCCATTATTTTATTTTAGACAATATATTTTACGAAATAATTTGAGGAAATAATTAGGGTTATGTCTAAATTTCATAATCCATAATGAAGTAAACCTTGAACTATCAGTGGAGCCAACATAAAAATCGCAAAACTATCAACGCATTTTGACAAGTTGACGAGTTTTGATCTCTCTAGTCTAGACAGACCCTAGACTTGCTCTAGACAATCCTAGACAATATAATAATATCCTAGACAATATTCGAAATTAGAATCATATTAGAATATGGTATATTTATAAGGTAAGGCCTAGACAATATAATAATAAGGTAATGTATGTATTGTAAGGAAGGATGTCTGGGACATGCTCATAGCCTTCATAGCATACTTATTTCAATATTATGCAAAGAAATAAATATTTACAAACATATGAAGATTACCCGTAAGTAAATTGTGAAACTCAAACGCTTCTGAAACTAATGTTGTTACTCCCCATCGTTTTACAGATGCATTGTTAAATACACTTTATTTTGTTATTAAATTAATTACAACTTTGTAATAGCTTTGAGAAATATCAAAAGCACATAGATTTTTCACTAAACGATAAAGAACATGATATCACAATATATTATATTATAAATGTACATTTTGGTATATATATATATATATATATATATATATATATAATTTTAATTATTAATAAAACCTAATATTTATAAAATGTCACCAATTTCGTTCATACATTCTATAAAATTGTTTTATTGGTTATTTTCAAAATGTCTCAAACGTCGTCTTCTTATTTCATCATTTGGCCCTGAAGGAATTGTTTGCTCTAATGTATCATTTACTAATGTTGGATTGCTTGTACTTGGTTCATTAATCTTTGATGTAGAAGGACCTGGATCGTTTATACTAGATTTACTTTTGCTTGAAGCTTGTGTAGATTCATTTACATCATCTGACTGTTTTTCAAGATTTTCCGGTATATAAGGAGGCAGCCTTGATACTATTGTTTGATAGTTATTCATAAGAGCAATGGATGTATCTAACATCAGTTGAATTTCTCGTATGTACTAAAAATTATTTAATTATTGACTTATGCTCTAAATAGACTAAAATTTTAGAACAAATATTACCTTAATTCTTGCTTCAACATGACACCTTTCATGACCTTCCATAGCTCTCACTTCTTCATCAGAAAGAGTAGCAAGGTCCTTGGGTGGTACTGGAGGCGGTGTGAACACAGCCCCAAATGGTGGCATTGGAAAACCACTAAGATTTGGAATATTTCCAGAATTGTTACCTGGCAAATTATTTATTCCAGGCAAATTAGGCATACCAGGTAAATTAGGCATACCAGGCAAATTTGGAAACCCTATTAAATTTGGAAAACCAGGTGGAAAACTAAATGCATTAGGTATGGGTGCTGCTAAAACAAATGAATTATGTTCATAAATGCAGGATTCCTCAAAATTATAATACAGAAAATATTGGATAATAACCTGCATCTGTCTGATTTCTGTTTTGAGCTGCATGCACTTGTGGTTCAGCTGCTGGTGTATTAGCATTCTCTCCTTGTTGTGCTGCAGGTGTGGTCTGTCCTGCATTGTTTGTAGGTGCAGGACGCAAAATATCAAGTCGGCATGTTGGACATGTTTGTTGCCTCTGAAACCATGATCTAAGACAAGCAGTATGAAAAATGTGATTGCAAGGAAGCTTCTTTGCATTATTGTTCATTTCCTCCCTGAAGAAAATAAAAAAAAATATTTATGTTAATGTATTATTTTCTATAGCTCTCTATGAATAGCAGGAATATTGTGTTACCGGCATATAATGCAAACATTGTCTGCATCTGCTAGCTCTTGACTTGTGGCATCAGGATACAAAGTATTCATATTACGAATAGCTCTTCGAGATAGTACAACATCATTAAATGCTTTTTTGAAGTTCCTATGTAAAAGAATTGAAACTTGAAATAATTTCTTAAAAGTACAAAGCAATAATTCATGAACATTACCTCATTGTATAATACATTGGCCTGAAGGCAAAGAGTGGTAAAGTATATATTCTAACCATAATAGCAACAAATGCTAAATATAATAACACTCTAATAAATCCAACAATCAACTCAGTATATAATAATAGTACCGCTTTTCCATCCCATGGTAAATCAGATCTGAAATATTTAATAAAAGTTAGTACTTCTTTTTTGAGGTCTCAAAATAATAGTATTAAATTACCGAAGATCAGCAGCATGTAAGCAATATTTTATTGCTGTATTTGCAACCATAGTCAACAAAATAGCATATTCAAATCCAAAAACTAATTGAACTGATGCCCCTTTGGTTACAGTAGATTGGTAAGCAGAACTCAAGAAATAAACGTCTAGAACTCCTAGCAATGTTAGTAAACCCAAAACTCGGATATGAAATAATAAACTTATAATAGGACTTCTCTCCATCTAAAAAAATAATAACCATATAAAATGCAGAAAAATTTAGGCAAGTTATTTCAAAAAACTAAATTTGAATAACATACATAGTCAACTCGATCTTCTGCAAGCCAATGGAATGATTTTAAAAATAATAATACCGTAAACAATGCCACAAATTTTGGATTGAAATCATCTCTAAAAACTGTGAATGCTAGACAGGTTTCTGTTATTGCATACCAAGATCTTTCCATTAAATGTTCAAATTCGGCTGCTCTTAATTGCCCAAAAAAGACTTTGCGCATTAATTTTCCCATGAGCATCACCAAAATAAATGCTTGTACATATATCACCTGAAATTCAGAAGATCAAAAGGTAGAAAAAATTGTTTTTCATACTGAGAGGAGGATTAATTATAAAATAGTTGTTCATTTATAAAAAAGAAATTAGAAACATGTTCTGCTTTATCTAAGATGTTAGTATCAAAATAATGCACACAGAATTTATTATTAACAAAAATCATAGTTAAACAAATGTATTAAAATAAAATATCGTGACAGAATCAATCACGAATCACAATTTTGTCGATCAATCAAATTCACTTACAGCCATACTAGCATTTGTTTTTGTGATATACACCACACTTGGATAAAATTGCTTTTTTTGATAATATGCATTGCCGATTACAGCTGCTGTTAAAGTTAAACTTATTAAAGAAACCGCAAGGGCTCTCATTTTTAATAAATACGTTTCGTTCGTCCCAATTTCACAAAAATTGTTGCATGGATTTTGACAGATATAACAATAATACAAAGATTGAGTCAGCTAGTTTGTGGATCAACCACGAACGAACACATCAGCACTTATCTATGGCGACCTTGCACGTGTCTTTACAAGAAATGTTGAAAAAATCGATTCAAGTATTGAAATATTTTTTCAGTAATAATTATATTTAATTATCTTCCATTGAGTCAATAATCACATTCTCAATGTTTTGCTCAACGATCACTATAATTTTTTTATGTTCATAGAAGAAAAACCTTTTCATTCAAACCTCAACATTGAGAAATAATATGTTTTTGTTACTGTAACATATTTATTATTTTATATTTGCTTCTTTAATAATAATACGGAAAAGTTATAAAAACCATTTGATTTGCTTTATAAACAACCAATATGAAAAATATTTATTTTGGCTCTTGTTTTCATATTTTGATTACACAATTCCATATGGAATTATGCAAATACTATATATATATATATATATATATATATATATATATATATATATATTATATTACATAGTATATTTGCTATGCAATTTTTAATCACAAATCAACAAAATTTAATAATAAAATATTTTTATTATAATTTTCCTTTAAAATTACATCTAAAATTCTATACATATTTACAAAAGTAAACAACAATATCATTTGAATATAAATTAATACAAAAAATACCTATGAAGCTTTACAACACTGCAATTTTGATGTTTTTTTTAAGTTATAATATTCTGTTCAATACCACTTGTATTTCTTTTTCTTATGTATATTTCTAAAAGAAATTTTCAAGATAGTATTTGAAACATATATGTTTGATTTTAATATAATTAAATTGCAGAAATAATTGTAAATTGTAAATTATCTATTAAATCTTATACTTCAATCTGTAACAACTATGTAATATTTAACCTACTTTGTCCGTCTTTTTCGTTTTCCTTTTTTGTCAAGAAGAGGAGAATTATTATCTTGTGATGAGCTGCCTTTATCTGCAGAGCCTTGCCACTCCTTTTTTAATTCTTGTAACATGTGAGGCGTGAGTAACCCTTGAGCCAGCAATCTTTCGGTTAAACGACCCTTGCCAACATTTGGTGAAGATGGTTCTGTTAAGAATATATTATTATGCAATATTTGGCAAACATAAATTAGATAACCATGTTGAGAAAATTTCCGAGATTTGCAATACCTCTTAAATAATTATTTCTTCTATGATTAATTGATATAGAATCTTCATCAGGAGTATTTGTGCTTATTACATTTTCAGAATTTTTAAGTAAACGTGTTATTTGGAAAACACCTTGTTGAATGATGGCATCTAACTCTTTTTGTGTATCCCGAACTAAATTAGCATCAGGGAATAAATCCATAAAACGATAACTGAAACATTAATTACAAATGTTACATCATCTACATTAACATTTGAATCAGTTTTATAAATTATTCATACCTAAACCATAAATATAAATCCATAACATCAAAAACAGCTTCTAGATGAACTAAATCAATAATTGTTTTGGGAAGCGCAAAAGGAAATCCACAATGATTGCACAACCAATCAAATGTTAAAGGTTCATTTCTTGAAAACTGCCTTGCAAACTATTGAAATGTAAACAATGTATTAAAATGCAAGATTTTAAAAGATCAAATTGTTATGCGCTATTCAATTTTACCTTAAGGAACATTGTGCATACAAATGGCATCTTCCGGTTTATAGGAGCACAGCAGAAGATATATCTCGCCCGTAAAGGCAGTGGAACATGTTGTATCATGTCAGCCAAAAATTTAAAATCTTCAGTATTGCACATGAAATATAATGAATCGTCTACGGTAGATAGTGATACAAAAATATCCTAGAGTAAAAAAATATATTTGATTATAGATAGCACTCATTAGAAAGTATTTATTTAGGATCTATAACACTCAAATCATCTTCATATTCTTACCATTAAATTACTTAATGTTGAATTTGGCAAATGGTATGCATAAAGTTCTATTTGATCTGCAGTTGGATGAAGTCCGGCTTGTGTTATTGTGTCTGGTGTGGAGGCAAGCAACGATTTTAATGTTGATAAATCTTCAGGTTTTAATGTAGTAACAAACCCGTGCTCCCATTGAGTTCCATAACGCCCGGCTCGACCTTAATTACAAAAAAAAGCTAAAATATATAATGAAAAAGTAAAATGTAAATGTATAATTATGTTATGCTTACCTGCTATTTGAAGGGCTTGTGAAACAGATATTGTATCCATTTCCTTTTCACCTTTCTCATTTACAGACGGTTTAATTAAAGAATAAAAAATTATCCTTCTAATACTCCTATAAAAATATATTATAACATTATGTATAATAATTTATTGACAAAAAATTATACAAACTTACAGATTCAGTCCCATTCCAATAGCATCTGTTGCCACCATAATTTTACAACTATTTTTGGTATCATTAAATTTTGCTGCCTGCGCTAATTTAGTACCAGGAGGCAAACCACCATATATAACTGCAACTTCTCGACCTCTATTGAAATGATTTTTTATGAAATTACATTAAATTACTTTTCTCAAGAATAGGAAGAGCTTACCGAGATTCAATTGCTCTTGAAACTGAATATATGTCATTTTTACTAAAACAAACTATACAATCACCAGGCTGTACATTATCCAAAGAACATAAGGCTGAATCTTCTACTGTGAGATTTGTGAGTCTTTTATAATTTCTAACCTGATAAAATGTGTTGAAAGTTTAACATTGTTATTGTAATGAATACACATTATTTTATACCTCTAGATCTTCACCAGTAGTTGTACACAATTCTCTAATTAAATCTATTGCAGCTGGTTCTCCACAAACATGAACTTCATCAGCAACTAAACCTAAAAAACCTAAAAGGCTCTTGTCCAAGCCCAGCCACGTCCAGGATCTTTAATCATCTGGTACATTAAATTACTTTTCTCAAGAATAGGAAGAGCTTACCGAGATTCAATTGCTCTTGAAACTGAATATATGTCATTTTTTACTAAAACAACTATACAATCACCAGGCTGTACATTATCCAAAGAAACATAAGGCTGAATCTTCTACTGTGAGTTTGTGAGTCTTTTAATATTTCTAACCTGATAAAATGTGTTGAAAGTTTAACATTGTTATTGTAATGAATACACATTATTTTATACCTCTAGATCTTCACCAGTAGTTGTACACAATTCTCTAATTAAATCTATTGCAGCTGGTTCTCCACAAACATGAACTTCATCAGCAACTAAACCTAAAAAGGCTCTTGTCCAAGCCCAGCCACGTCCAGGATCTTTAATCATCTGGATTTCATCGATAACTGCTACCTCATCTGCAAATAAACAAATCATAATAAACATATTATATTTCAATATTATTAAAGAATAATGAAAATAATGTTATAATTGAAATATATTTATAATTAAAAGTGAATTGAATTGAAACATATTTATAATTAAAATATTTCCAAATATTTTTCAATATTATTGAAGAAATGAAAATAAGAATATCTTGAATGAAAGTGTAATATATGTACATACATGGTGTATTAATTGAAGTCATTTCAACGGTGCAAGAAACATGGTCACTAGGTTCTTCTCCTTTTGCATATTGTCTTTCCTCACCTGTTACTAAATCGCAATTTGTTTCCTATAATATGGTTTTTACTAAGTATTCTCAATACAACAAATTATTATTTAAAATTATTTCAGAACTTACTCTTTCTTTGCATTTATGAAATACTTCAGTGGCAAGTAATTTTAGAGGGCCACAATACACACCCGATTTAGCGTTCATGAATCTTTCAAGAGCATGATATGTTTTGCCTGAGTTTGTTGGACCGGCATGAAATATTATTTTGCGATTTATAGCTCTTGCTGATGGGTACCTATAAAATTTTAGTAGGTATTATATTATGTAAAAAAATATTTATTGTTTAAGGTTTTCTTTTAATATTTGCTCTCTTTACTTTAATTTATTTTATTTGTATATTGAAAACAATGAAAGAACATTTACCAATTTGCAGGTGTTCTTAAGTCTGATATTTTTTTAAGATCATCCATGCACTCTAAATGCGGAAACATTCTTCGTGCATGTTAAGGAAGTATGGTAATATGTCATCAACGTGACCATCACCTAAAACAAATTAGTATTTAAAATAAAAGATAATTGTAAATATTACTCCTATCTCACCTTGTAATACATCACTAACTGCTATGTGAAAATCAACTGGCAAAGCTTCAGCTTCTAAACAATAGCGTCTAAAACTAACATAGGCCTGATGTTGTAAATAATCTGTAAATTATAAAGTGATGCAAAATTAAATGTAGTAAAAGCAACAATATAAAATGTTTGTACATACTGTCTAAGCCATTTTCTAAACACAACTGTTTAATTTCCTTTCTTTGGTAAAATTTATTTAAAACTTTTAATAAATCAGCCTTATTTAACTGTCCACTAATTTCAGCTCCAATGTTAATATCATCAGGATTTGGTTTAACCGGTACTGGTACAAAAAGTGAAGAAAGATTCGAATCATCTTTTTTGCCTCTGTTCGTAATTAATGTAAAATCCACTGTTTGTAAAAATTTGCTCATGGAACTTCTCCATCTTAATGATTTATAAAGAATTGGTAACATTTGATTGAATGCACTGGTCTATTGACATTAAAAAAATAAAAAATATATTTGTACAATTATGAAAAAATTTGTTTGATGTATTTTAGGTTAGAAAAGTTTAGATAAAATCATATGAAAATGTTTTATGACTTTTAAATAAAAGAGTACGCTAGTATCGCAAGTGATTGTAGTAATTGCGCGGGTAATTTGAATGAAGTTTCTGGATATGTGAATGTAAATTTTCTACATACTAGAAAATCATAAGTTTGATATATATTTATATATATATATATATATATATAAATTCATCACATACGTAAAAATTTTAATTGAAAAACAGTTTTTCAACAATTAATTAAGAACAAACGGCCCAGCAAATATGTACCACAAAATAATCAATCCAATTCCCATCTGATGTATTTCAAACGTTTTTTAAATTTTAAGTAAAGAAATAAAATTGTAAAAATTATTTTTTTTGAAATTGGAGCAGACCTTTTTAACCCGGACCAGAGGTTAAATTTTGGATTACATACAACCACACATGCATACACTGTAGTGCAATTAAATATTTTATAAGTCTGTTCGATAGATATCAATTAAAAATCGCATTGATTAGGCGCTGTTGAAAACGACAAAAAATATCTTCGAAAGAAGCATTTGAAAATTATATCTAAATAGTTTAATCTCAAAATTAGTTTCGACTCAAGGCAAAATGCCACATACACCCAACAACTCTGTAAAATAACCCATTCAATTATAAATTATATTTGTGAATTTCTTTATCAATTGATATTTCTATATCACAATAGTTTAATCTTTGAGGTAACTGTATACCGCAACAGGAACATGTATTGTGGTATTTTTTAACTTTATAAAATAACGCATTCAATTATAAATTATATTTGTGAATTATTTTTTTTATCACTTGATATTTCTATATCACAATGCTTTAATCTTTGAGGTAACTGTATACCGCAACAGGAACATGTATTGTGGTATTTTTTGGCTTATCATTGATAGGACGGAGGCTTTTTATTATAAAATTTTAGTATAAATAGGAATGTTTTTTTCGAAATTGTATCATTCATTCTTGTTGCTTCACAAGAATAACTACCAAGTTAAATATTTACAGTTTTAAATTTTCTTTGCGAAATACCAATCGTAAATATGTCGGACCATAAGAAGAATTTGGCTCTCCTGTTCGATAGGCCCACTGAACCAGTGTTCATGGCCAAGGGTGCTGATAAAACAGTATTCGAGATTCCTGATAATTATTTCGCTGACAAATACAAGGATATTGGAGCTGCTCTTCAAAATCGTTTTGGAGAAGAAGCCGGAAATCGTGTACCAGTTAGGAACATTTCTGTTCCTGATCTCAGCGTTCCTATGCAGTTGGGTCGTCGTGAAAACTTCTCATTATTTATACCCAAGCACAGAATGATTGCTGGACGTTTGATTGATATTTTCATGGGTTTACGTAATTTGGAAGATTTGCAGTCCGTTGCTGTTTATGCTAGAGATCGCTTGAATCCTTATCTATTCAATTATGCACTATCAGTGGCTCTTTTACACAGAGAAGATACTAAAGATGTGCCAATTCCAAACTTTGCTGAATCGTTCCCGGATAAATTCATGGATAGCGCTGTGTTTCAGAGGGCTAGGGAGGAAGCGACTATTGTACCAGAAGGCTCAAGGGTAAGTCATTTTCAATTTTTCATATTATTAAATAAAAACAATTTTTTAATAAGTTAGCTTGTAAAATATTTTCTATAGCTCTTTATATTTATTCCTTATTATTTATTTCAGGTTCCGATTGTGATCCCTAAAGATTACACAGCTTCCGATTTAGAAGAAGAACATCGCGTTGCCTATTTCCGAGAAGACATTGGTCTAAATTTGCACCATTGGCATTGGCATCTTGTTTATCCATTCGAAGCCAGCAACCGTGCTTTAGTAGCTAAAGACAGGCGTGGTGAATTGTTCTACTACATGCATCAACAAATAATAGCTCGTTATAATGCTGAACGTCTTAGCAATCATTTGCCTCGTGTCAAACGTTTAGAAAATCTTAGAGAACCTATTCCTGAAGGTTATTTCCCAAAAATGGACTCCATGGTAGCCAGCAGGGCGTGGCCCCCAAGATTTGTTAACACTACCATCAAAGATTTACGTAGGGAGGTAGATCAGATTAAATTGGATGTTAGTGATTTGGAAAGATGGAGGGATAGATTTTATGAAGCTATTCATCAAGGTTTTGTTATTGATGTGAGTTAAAAAAATTAATTACATTTTTTAATGTTTATGCAGATATGATATTTTTATCATAATTTTCAGAGACAAGGAAACCGCATAGTTCTTGATGAAGCTACTGGTATAGATACTCTTGGAAACATGATGGAATCATCTATATTATCACCGAATCGAGGTTTATATGGAGATATGCACAACATGGGCCACGTTCTCATCTCTTATTCGCACGATCCTGACCATAGACATTTGGTAAAACTTTAATTAAATTTCTACAAAATATTAGTTTTTACACTTGTAATTTTTATAATCTGGATGTTTCACAAAAAAGGAAACTTATGGTGTAATGGGAGATTCTGCAACTGCCATGAGAGATCCAGTTTTCTATCGTTGGCACGCATTTGTTGATGATGTGTTCCAAGAGCATAAAGGAACTTTACCACGTTATACCGCACCCCAAGTAAAATATTTTGAACAATATTAAAAACAATTTTAAACAATAATAAAATGTAAATTTATGAAAATTATAGTTGGGCTATCAAGGAGTTTCTATTGAATCAGTCGATGTCATTGTGCAAAACTCTCAACCAAATCGCTTCCAGACGTTCTGGCAACAATCTGACGTAGATTTGTCTCGCGGTATGTACCAAATTACCTTTAACTTGAACAAAAATAATTCAATAAATTTAAAATTTTACATAATGTTTAAGATTAGTACCATAATTGTAATATATAAAATTTGTTTATCATTTATCTTAATAGGAATGGACTTTACCCCACGTGGTAATGTCTTTGCAAGATTCACGCATTTGCAACATCAACCATTCACCTATCGCATCCAAGTAAACAATTCAAATAGCGCCCCAAGAATGGGTACAGTTAGGATCTTTATGGCACCAAAACAGGACGAACGTGGTTTACCAATCTTGCTACGTGATCAAAGGACTCTCTTCATTGAACTCGATAAATTTACTGTATCTTGTAAGTATTTGATATTCGATTATAATAAAACATAATACAATTTTATAAATACAAAATTAAAATTGATATGTACCTACCTTAGTGAGACCTGGTATGAACACAATTCCTCGCCGATCCGATGAATCTTCCGTAACCATTCCATTCGAAAGGACATTCCGCAACCTGAATGACCGTCCAGCTGCTGGTACAGATGCTGAAGCTGCTTTCAACTTCTGTGGTTGTGGATGGCCTCATCATTTACTCATTCCTAAAGGCACACCTCAGGGCATGGAATATGAATTATTCGTTATGGTGTCAAATTACAATGATGACAGAGTAAGTTATCATAGAAAATTTGTAGTAATATAATGTTCATCGGTATTACCAAGAATAAGTATCTATCCAACTCAATTTACATTATTTTAACTATTTACCTTTCCAGGTTGACCAAACTATCACTGGTACATGCAATGATTCTTCAAGTTACTGTGGAATCAGAGACCGTTTATATCCAGACAAAAGAGCAATGGGCTTCCCATTCGACAGACCACCACCAAATGGTGTCGATACTTTGGCTAGCTTAGTCCAAAGTTTACCTAATATGGTTGTGAAAGATGTGGTTGTCCAATTTACTGATCGTAGTGTCGTACGAGCATAAAGGACACAGTTTCTTGATGGTTTGGTAAAATATTGAATACGATTGATAATAGTACAAGAACAAAATACTAGTCAATTTATTGTTTGTAATAATTTTCAACATCCGATGTGAACGATACTGCCACAATAGTTCACAATTTGGCTAACTTTTAACTTTTTAATTTTATATCATGAGTGTTTATCAATTTATTTTATTACTGAATAATTTAGACATCATTTGTACACTGCTAAACTTGTACTAAAAATTTATGAGTATCAATATTTTTACCACTTGATGATGACTATTTGCAAATACTCTCCCACTGATATATCTAATAATTATAAATATTTTTAAACAATATTTTGTGATATAGATTATGAAAAATAATCCATTATAATGTAACCAAATATTTCAATAAATATAGCATATCGTAAATAGAAGTTTCGCATATTTTTTAATTTATCAGCTAATTTCAGAACAATTTTGAAGATCTTTTTTGTCCAATTAGAATATATGACTAGGGGCCGTTCAAGTATTACGTAAGCACCATAGGGGGCGGGGGGGGGTTATTGATTTGCTTATTTTGTGTGAAATTTTGGTGACAGTTTTGCTTACTTTTGCTGACAAGTGGGATGAGGGGGTAAATAATTGTACTAAATCTGCTTACGTAATACTTGAACGATCCCATAAACGCATGTATATATATAGAACTGTGATTCAAATATTTGCCAATTATTGGTTTGAACACATTTTATTTCAGATTTACGGACAAATCTAATTCAAAAAATATTACGTATAAAAATAGTACAACAAATAAACAACGAAGAAATTCTACATTCATACATTTAATTTCTATCGAGTGTTACGAAATTAATCCTCGTTTTGGCTCACTTCGCGAATGAGATCAGTAATAGTGGTATCAGATTCTGAATCATTATAACTCATTTTTTCATCGCTAAAATCTTTGAAAAACATTTCGGCAGTGCTTGCTCTGGCTGTAGGTGGAGGGCTTACTAAAATGACATCACTACTTTGAATAATGGGATCTTCCATTATGCTCACTGATTTTCTGATACTCTCACTTCTGGGACGATTATCACTAAAGGAAGATCTAAGGTTTTCTGGTGCTGTTTGAAGTATCGGAATTTGCTTTTGAGGAATTTTCAATGCTGATGGTTTGTCTACGTCTATACCTAAGCGTTCCAGTACAACTCGTGTTTCGTGCGAATAAGCTAAAGGAAATAAAATCATAGAAGAAAATAATCGAATAAATAAATAAATAAATAAAGAAATAAATAACTATATATATATCTATATCTACATATAAATAAAAATAAGTCGGGTTTTCCTTCCTGACGATATAACTCCAAAACGCACGAACTGATTTCGTCGGAAAAGCCTCGCGCTTCGCAAGGTTTATAGCTAAGAAAATTAGCGGTGCATAGCACCGTGCCTTAATGCAAATTGCTGGAACTTCACGCACCGTAATCAAAAATTCGAGTAATGACATTAGTGAGAATTATCAGAATTATGCTTGGTTAAGTCAACGAGCAATTCTTGCCGCAGAGAATAACTGAATTTCACGCACACGCACTGAATTTCACCATTCAATCAAAAATTGCTGGCGATTTGGTGACATGCCAATGATTCCGACTGGTCTTCCGTTTGACTTCAAACGATTGCAATTTTTAGTTCTCCTTGCGTTTGCAATAACAAGTCGCAAGGCCAATCGCTTAGTGTTTGTGGAATAAATTTCAAATAGATTATTTAGAAAATCATTGTTTTTCACATGGGCAGTTATACGTTGCCTGTTCACGAGTTGGAAAACCATCCGCTTTGTTTGTTTTAACGTCAGACCAAAAAACAAAAAATGTGGTTTACCAAAGAGCACTTCAATGAAACGGATAATTTGCGGATTCACTTTCATTTACTTAGAGAAGTTCAACTAAAAAACGCTTAATTTTTGTAATTGAAATAAATTCATTACTGTTGTGTAATAAAATCAAATTTTTCCTTTTCAACTATAAAACAAACAAACAATTTCTTCATCTTTCTCACGAAACCATCTGTGGCGAAAAGGAGTTTGTCGGGTTTGCTAGTATATATATATATATATATATATATATAAATATATATATATGTGTGTGTGTATCTGTGCAATGAATATTAAAGTATGCATTTCTATGATCAATATCCTTACCTTTAGGTGGCGTTTTACTTGCTACGCTATCTAGAAATAAAGAAAAACTTTGATGTTTTAATTATATTTTGATTCGATATCTAAATCTAAATAACGTAATTTATTTTTGATAAATAATGTTTTATTGAAAAATTAAATCATCAATAAAAAAGTTTACCTTTCGGAGTTATTGTTCTGAAATGAGTTGTATTCGTTTTTTCTTGAGTCAATTGTGAAGGAGTAGGCAATTTATTAACAGAAAATCTTGCCAATGAAGGCGGCTGCAAAAAAAATTTAAATTGAATATATAAATATAAGCAGTAATAAATAAATGATTTTTTTTACTTCATAAAAATTATATTTAAATTCAGTTCCCAAATCAAATGTTGATGATTATACTCAAGTAGTTTTCTGCTAGTAAGGCGATTTGTCTAGGATATTTGGATGACTGTTAAGTTTGCCTTTGTGTTTATATACAGTTTTTATCTTTTTTTACATAATAAAAAATATAATTTTTATACTATTTCTTAATTAAAATTACCAAAGTATCTGATGTAGACAAACGATGCGTTTTAACAACAATTGCTTCGGTAATGGGCGTTGCTGACTTCGTATATTGCGGCAAAGGCGGCGGCAGCATTACTGAAGTCCTCCTTTCCGATCCGGTCTGTGAAGCAATGGCCTCAAGTTTTGCTTCAGCTTCTTCAGGAATTTCATAATCCTTACTTGATGATCGGCTTTGCAAAGAAGATCGCGGAATTGGCATCCTCTGCTCCGCCGAGTTTCGTGGAGTTGTCACAGGTGTTGGAGGAGCCAAAAAAAGTTCATCGAGCTTTTTTTTATCACTGGCTTTGAGGGACGATCGTTTCTCGTTACCAGTTGCTGGTGGAACCTTTGTACCTAACTCCAACTATAAAAATAAAAATAAATAAACTAATAACTAGGTGTAAATAAAGTTTCATCTTAAGGCAAGTAGCCTTTTGGTAATATATTTATTTGCCCAGATGTAAATAATCAATTTAATATGAATTATTTAAGCAGTGTGAAAAGAGATTTGGAAACATTAGGAGTTGAGATTTAAGAGATTTAGGAATTCTTCAATCAATATGAATTGAGCGTTTAATATGCGTATGAATTGAGTTTTAGGAACTTTTATAATTGTGCCGATAAAATTTTGAACTGTTTTTTTTTTAATTTTTTTCTCTTGAAAATAAAAAATTTCCTTTTCCATTAGAACCTATTCAATTCGATTTTTGATTGATATTATACTTCTTATACTTTGTCTCTCATTATTTTATAGTTTAATAAATTTTCATAATTTAACCACTTTTTGCAGGCTCGAATATTATGATAATCTATTTATTTTAATTATTTATTTGTTCATAAGCAAGCTGCGATTAATAATAATAAATATTTCAGGTATTTCATATTATATTTATTTATACTTTTTATGCAAGGATTCATAAAAATTCTAAAAAAATCGTTTCTACATTTAATTACAAAAAATAATTAGTTTATTAAATAAAAGAAAACGAAATGAACCACGGCTAGAAGAGAGATAAATTTGGCTCACATACTTCTAACAAATTTGATGTCAAACGATTCAGAATGACTTGAAACTTCGAAAGAACAAATTTAGCAAATTGGATTTTTTGATAAAATCATAAATTTTCCTTTCTAAAAGTTAACAACTAGTTCAGGGTTGAACTTGGTATATATTGATAACTTAATTGTCAATTAATTAAACTATATATTATTAATTCAGTTTCTAATGTTTTAAGATCAGATTTTTTCCCTATAATAAATTTCCTTGGCAATTGTTTATAGTTTAATAGAATTCTTGAAAATGCGATAACCCTATAATCCTAATCATGTTTTTTTGCATTTTATATAATTTAGAGATAAAATAACATTTATAAAAGATATAAAATGAATTTCAATCTGAATAATGCAACTCACAGATAACAAAACCGAGCAGAAGGAATGCAAACAAATTTTTAAAACTATAATTTTTGATAAACGATGAGCAACATAGATAATGCTTCATGCACAGTTCCTGATTAAAATAATCAATATTTGAAGCTTAAATAAAATTTACACTAAATATGAAAGTTGAGTATGATAAATTATGATCAAATATTTTAAATCTCTAATATTTTTATAATAATAAAATTTATAATATATATATATATACATATATATATATATATATATATATATATATATGCATAATTAAAATTTAGTATAAATCTTAAAACCTCAGCGGATCTTCTCTTCACTCTATCATTATTGTCAGAGTCTTCATCCTCAGAATCAGAATGCATTTTCCAACAACAAAGTTCACGGGTCTTAGACAATTTTTTACCTTTGTTTTTATCTTTTTTAATATTGAGTTCAGTAACAGACGTAGGCACAGATATTGGAAAAACTTTTTCTGGCGGGTTTTGGAAGACCAAGTGAATATCACTATCTTCTGTTATCTGTTTTTGACCGTGCTGTAAATAGAAATAAATTACTATGAATAATGTTGGTGAATTGTGAATAATGAACAAAGAATTATAAATGGATTAAAAAATTAAATGGTTTTTATGCATTAAGATTAGATGATAACAGCAACATATTTAAGGTAAATATCGTAAGAAATAAACATTTATAAATTCTTTGCTCACTGTTTTCTTAAATATATATATTTATTATTTTCTCAAAGAGATATCAAAGGTTGATTTTTTTCTTTTGTATTTTACATGATAAATTATTTAAGACTACTTACCTACTTTTAAATAAAATACAAACAGTGAGAAAAGAATAATTTTACATCTTTTTTCAAATATTGTTGATTTAATTTGTTTATGCTTTTGTTGCTTTTATCACCCTCC